CAATAAAATGAAAAATATACGAAATACTATACATGCACTGATTTCTTTCGAAAATCGACAACTATGAAACTATGAACCCTTCCTGGACACAAACGGTACATTGTGAAACAGGAAATTGTAGAGAGAAACAAACCCTATAACATAGGATACAACATTTTAATGAACAGTGCTTTCCATAAAATCAATAAAATGAATAATATATGAAATAATATACATGTACTGATTTCTTTCGAAAATCGACAACTATGAAACTATGAACCCTTCCCGGACACAAACGGTACATTGTGAGACAGAAAATTGTAGAAACAAGCCCTATAACATAGGATACAACATTTTAATGAACAGTGCTTTCCATAAAATCAATAAAATGAATAATATATGAAATAATATACATGTACTGATTTCTTTCGGAAATCGACAACTATGAAACTATGAACCCTTCCCGGACACAAACAGTACAATGTGAGACAGAAAATTGTAGAGAGAAACAAGCCTTATAACATAGGATACAACATTTTAATGAACAGTGCTTTCCATACGATCAATAAAATGAAAAATATACGAAATACTATACATATACTAATTTCTTTCGAAAATCGACAACTATGAAACTATGAACCCTTCCCGGACACAAATGGTACAATGTGAGACAGAAAATTGTAGAGAGAAACAAGCCTTACAACATAGGATACAACATTTTAATGAACAGTGCTTTCCATACGATCAATAAAATGAAAAATATACGAAATACTATACACATACTAATTTCTTTCGAAAATCGACAACTAGGAAACTATGAACCCTTCCCGGACACAAATGGTACAATGTGAGACAGAAAATTGTAGAGAGAAACAAACCCTATAACATAGGATACAACATTTTAATGAACAGTGCTTTCCATACGATCAATAAAATGAAAAATATACGAAATACTATACACATACTAATTTCTTTCGAAAATCGACAACTATGAAACTATGAACCCTTCCCGGACACAAATGGTACAATGTGAGACAGAAAATTGTAGAGAGAAACAAGCCTTATAACATAGGATACAACATTTTAATGAACACTGCTTTCCATAAAATCAATAAAATGAAAAATATACGAAATACTATACATGTACTGATTTCTTTCGAAAATCGACAACTATGAAACTATGAACCCTTCCCGGACACAAACCGTACATTGTGAGACAGAAAATTGTAGAGAGAAAAAAGCCCTATAACATAGGATACATTTTAATGAACAGTGCTTTCCATAAAATCCATTTCTTGCCGATTTGTTACTCTACCAAAAAACTCTAGATCCGCCACTGGTGAATAGGAAGCACCGCCACTGGCTCTAGATGCAATCAAGTAGAGACAATAAAACATATTTTAATTAGCGATTGGATTAAAATTTAAATCGTAAAACTACGGGTATGCGTAAAACTGTTTACGTATTTTACGAAATACATGGATTAAAAGAGTTATTGGAGTTGTTAGATTCTGGTATGAGCGCTCTAGTTGAGTCAAATCGGCCAGCTGTGCGGTTCGCGTTCAGTTTGCGATCTGTTGCGCTCGGCGTTGGGCGGTTTTCGCGTAAAAATGTCAGTGGACGCTGATTATCCCGGCATTTTGTCCAGTGTGGCCAGTTTTCTTGGACTTAACACGGCGGAGGCCAGTGTCCAGTTTGAGGAAGACAGGTAAAGTGACAATAGAAACAGTGGAACAACAAGAAACTAAAAAATTATAAACAATCAAACACAGAAAATTAGTTAAAAAGTTTAATGTTGTAAAATTAAATCAACAATATTAGATGTAAATTCTTTATGGGAAAGTATAAAGTGTAATAACTGAATCAATTGATTCTTGGAAAATTAAAAAGTTTACTTTTAGAAAATGTCAAGAAACAAAAATATTGTTACTACAGTTAGTAATAAAAACAAAATTGACTTTTTCCCGTATTTTTTATCTAATGTATGAAAAATTCTTTGAATTTTTTAAATATATTTATTAAATGTATATATAATTTTGTTTTTAGAATTATACTTAAATTAATATACCTAACTGGCACTATTTTTCAAGAAGTTAGTTACTAAATACCGTATGATCGAAAAAAACGGCGTTTAGTTGACTTAGAAATGACGATCAATGACATCTTCATATAATTTTACATATAAAATGATAGCGATCTTTGTTTCACAGCCATCACTGACGCCGGATTTTTTTCGATCATATTGCATCAATTTTAAAACCTTCTTGTGCAAAAAGATTATTATTTATTAATATTTTTCAATATGCAAATAATTAAAATGAATATTTTTTCAGTATTGTCTTTAAAAGAAAATGTTTATATTTATTATTATTCGTCAATGCGTGTCATTAAAGACATTTACATATATTGAAGAATCTTCTTCTTAAAAACTGTAATTTTTGACTATGTCAAGGTCTATAGTTTATAAACTTTGACACTACTGTAAACCTTGACATTATCAAGGTCTACGGTTCATTGACCTTAAGAATTATATAGGTATGGTATTATAACTGTAGACCTTGACAATGTCTACAGTTTTCTACAGACTTTGACATAATATACTGTAAACATTGGCAATGTAAGACCTACACTTTATAAGTCTTGACACTGTAGACCTTTTATTAAGCCTACAGCTTATGACAATGTCCTTGGTATCGCAAGGTCATAAACTGTAGAAGGTTTTCCCAACAATTTTTCTATTCTTAGTTATTTGAAGGGATGTATAGTTTATAAGTCCTTGACTGTATCAAGGTTTGAAGCTGCTATATAGGCTCGTCAAACTGTAGATCTTGCCTGATAATCAAAGGCGTCTAATAAAGAAAAAATAATGAGATCTAAAATTTGGGAAAAACAAATACTTATAAATGCTAGATTTTTATTAAATTCAGAAAAAATAAACTTAAATTAAGTTGTTAATTTAATCGTATAAAAAATAAAAATAAAAAAATTGATAAATTAAATAAAAATTGAAAAATATCATAGGCATGATGCGTAACAAAACAATACACGTAACTCATAGTGTACAAAGTCTTTGTTATTATCTTGTGATGTTAATCAATGCAGTTAATCACTGATTAAATATTTTACTAATAAATTTCGAAAAGTCTATCACAAGTTTTCTCGAAATTTTACATTTTTGTATGGCGTTTGGCATTAAAAGCGGCATTAAAAATTTTGTATTATTTGTAAACCATTTTAATTAATTTTATGAATACTAGTCCATCTGATAATGTTCTACTAATAGAAAATGACTCAAGAAATATTACTTTTTTGCATAGAAACTGTTAACTACTCAGTCCAGATTAAAAGGTAATTTATGTCGAATCCGCTGAGCCAAAACATATATAATTTTTAATTATTTATATACGTATTTTATATATTATATACAATTTCAAATACATTCTAAATAATCTAAAATGTCAATATTCCGTAGGTATATTGTTGAGGCCTAAATTATAAGAAAATGACATTTTCTACCTTGGTTGAATAAGCTGCTGAATGATGATTTCATTTAAAATGGTACATTTAGAAGTAATGTAGTTTGAAATCAAGTTGCAATTATTCTGTATATTAAAAATACAGGAGTATATAAAAAGGTATTTAAAATATGAGATGTCGCTAGTCTATATTTTCCAAAAAGCTAAAATCTCATACAGGAAACCTAATATAGAGTTTTTTCGAAACAGTGTGACACCCTGTATAAATATATTGGGAAATATGGTTTTTATATGCGCAACTTTGTGAAATATACGAAATATACATCAATGGATCTATTTTTACTTCCCTACTGACGCGTATAAGCATTAAAAATAACTTGAGAAAACATGATGCTTCTATAACACGTAATCGGCACACCTAGAAGAGAAAAATGCTAGTAAAAAACTAATTTATGAAAAAGCATTATAGAAAAAAATGCCTAAGAATATCTAAAGTACTCTGAGTGATCGTTTGATAATTGCTTATATACCTATAAAAAATATTGTCTGTCCAGCGATAGTACCGTATGATCGAAAAAAAAACGGCGTCAAAGACAGTTGCGGAATAGACGTCATTTACTAAAAATTGACATAAATCTTATCAAAACTTGCCACTAATTATAGAAAGAATAAAAAACGATAGCACGTTTCCAGTAGGGTTCAGGACTTTGGAAATATTGTTGACGCAAAGCAAAACATTTTCTAACGCTCTGTATATTATTATCGGCTAGATAGAAGCAAGTCTCTCCTTTTGAAATGCCTGTATACCTTGAAAACTACATCCTGTATATTTTGAGGATTTTTAAAATCAACTTTCTGTTTTATAGAATCTGTAGATGTAGTATATATTTCTGTAGAATGAAAAAAAAATATAGATATTTTAAAACTGAACTCCTGTTTTTTTTTCGTTAAAAAATTATCAAATTCAAATGGAATATAATTATAAAAGACTTTACGCAAATGATTTGAGATTTTTTACGTGATTTAACGTATAATCAATTGAAAAAATAAATTTTTAGTGTTTTTAGAGTAAAATAATTTTACGGGACATTTGACCTACTGTATCAATAATGCCACTATGATGCTTTTTTTCGATAATACGATTCAAAAATTGGTAAAAGACGTTCAATTAAAATATAAAATTATAAAAACGCTTCGTTTCAAAATAAACATAATTCCAGATTTTTTTCAATGATTTAACGTAATAATCATTTGAAAAAAAAAATTTTGGTGTTCTCAGAGTAAAATAAGTTTACGGGACATTTGACCTACTCTATCAATAATGCTTTGAAAAGGGCACTATGACGCTTTTTTCGTTAATACGGTTTAAAAATTTTGTTTAAAAACTTTTTTAAGGCTGTACAATGAAGTCTAGGGCTTGACCTCGTCAAAAGTACCATCGATTCTCATGCCACAGCCGTCTTTGACGCCGTTTTTTTTTCGATCATACGATACATGTATTTTGATTGTTTTCTAAGTTATTATATTCCTTTTTCTTTGTTGTAGATATGAAAAACTGTTAAGGAGAGCACGCAGTGAGGACCTTACGGAAGTGTCTGGTATAGGCTGTCTTTACCAAAGCGGCGTAGATCGCCTGGGTAGACCCGTGGTGGTATTCGTGGGAAAATGGTTTCCTTTCAACAAAATCAACTTGGACAAGGTAGGTGCATATAGCGTGCGATACTTATATGCTATTATTCGCTAATTCCGAAATTGCTAGGAGCATATTTTTTCTCAAGGCTGTCCGTTCCTTACCATGAACTATAATCTTAATAATACGGTCTGTAATGATGGTATAATAGTGCATCTATATTGATTTGATATAGACTGTTAAATTACACTGTTTTGATTATATTACTCTTTTTTTTTAATTTTATAACTAGTTTTTTTTGGGATTTTTGACACATATTATTATAAATTAGTAAAGTAGAATCTTCGAAATAGTGCTGAAAATTTAATTTATCTCTTAAGTCTACTTTTTTAAGTAATTTCGTCTGATGTCGATTAGAAAATCCTTATCTCGCAAAAAATACCTTCATTACGAGCAACAAAAGAAATCAATTAGCGATAAGAGTCCATAGTTTGACGGTATTTTTAATTTACCGTCTCTTGTATTTTTGATTGTACATTGTAGTTATAACTAATACACTTTCCGTTAAAAAAATTGAATCTGGAATTTTCAGATTTCATCTCAGTTTTCTTTGTACATAATTAAATCTAGTCTTAAGACTTGTCCACACGTTGCGTTTTCCTTAGGTCTGACCTGTTCAGTCAAAACAGCTAGAAATAAAGCTTTAAAAAAGTGATAGTAAAACAGTTTAATTTGGCAAAACTATATGCAATACCAATTAAATTTTTAGTTGCAACATATTCAAAGCAAGAATTTCCATTAACATACAAACTGGCTAAAATTTTCTCACATTTGTCAGCATGAGAAAAAACAATATGGCGATATTATTATATAACTTGGTAATATTTGAGGAGTAGTTTCATCTCGTTGGAATTTGACTTTCGAAAAATCCGTTTGCCAAAAATAAGCCTTTTACGTCAAGCAGTTTAAGCAGAATCGTGGTTAATCAATTATCCAACTTTTTGGAGCACCCTGTATGATTTTTTAAAAAATTTCAAAATATGTAAAAAAACTAAATAAATTATGCGTGTCCAAGCATTTTCCCGAAAGACTAACCGTTTTTTAAATAACAAATATTGTAATATTTGAGGGGCGTTTTCATCCTCTTGAAATTTGAGATTCGAGGAACCCCCCCTTATCGAACCTCTACACCCCACAGTCAATCCGTTTGTTAAAAATCAACTTTAAACGTCAAGCAGTTTAAGCAGAATCGTGATTACTCAATGGTCATATTTTATGAAACACCCTGTATAAATTTTTAAAAAATTTAAATAAAAAATATTCTAATATTTGAGGGGTGGTTTCACCCCCTTAGAATTCGAGTTTCAAAAAATCCCTTCTTATCGAACCTCTACACCCTAAAGTCAATCCGTTTTCCAAAAATCAGCTTTTTACGTCAAGCGCTTTAAGCAGGATCGTGATTAATCAATGACCAGATTTTTCGAAACATCCTGTATACATTTTTAAAAAAATTTTAAAATATGTAAAAAAAAACAAAATAAAATATACTTGTTTAAGCGTTTTTTCGGAAACTTGACCGTTTTTAAATAAAAAATATTGTAATATTTGAGGGGTGGTTTCACCCTCTTGGAACTGGAATTTCGAAAAATCCCTTCTTATCGAACCTCTACACCCTAGAATCAACCTGTATGCCAAAATTGAGCTTCTTACGTTGAGTGGTTTGGGCAGGATCGTGATTAATCAGTGAGTCAGTCACTTAAGGATTTTATATATTAGTATAGATTAATATATTTTTGTTTTCTAAAATGTTTTGTTATTTTTAAAATCACAGCTAAATATTCTTTCTGAAAGAAAGCTTTAAAAAGCGATAGTAAAACAGTTTAATCAAAACTAGATATATTTTTCTCAATAATTTCAAATGAATCACCTTGTATTTTCTGTCATAAACGAACATAGTTTTTATGCAACTTTACGTCTTGTTACAGGCGTTACTCTACTTGATCTACTTACTCGATCCCATAGTTAAAGGCGACTACGTCATAGCATACTTCCACACGTTGACGTCAAGCAGTAACTATCCATCATTTTCTTGGCTGAGGGAAGTATACAACGTACTTCCGTACAAGTACAAAAAAAATCTGAAAGCGTTCTACGTGGTGCATCCCACATTCTGGACAAAGGTAAGGACATGATTAGTTAATTTCAGATTACCCCTGTATCTATTCTAAATTCCAAAAAATATTAATATGTAAAGTGATCAGATTTTAAGTCAATCAGGGATGAATATATATCAACTTTAATACGTAAACTCAGTTTATTATAATCTTTAGTATTTGACTTATTATACAAAGTTAATTGAATAGTTGTTTTTTACCTTAATTTTAAAACACTCTGTGCAATAATTTTGTGAGTAACTTTTCCTAAAACATTATTTTTCGGCCAGAACCATGTTTCCTAGGCATTTTGTTTTTGACTGATGTCAACATATGCCTTGGTTCATTTTTAAGATCAAAATGAACTTGCCACAAACATTTTGCAATTTTTTCAATTATTGTTACTTTTTGATGTTATTCTTCATAATGACGAATTGGCTTTGGTGATTATTGCTCTATACCATTGAATATGGTTCTTAGTGTCGAAGATTGTGCAAAAGTCATTGATTTTGTTGAAGATGGCAGAAATTATGAATATTCGCTTGGTCCTTGAAGAAGAATGGAAAAACATAAAACAATATATTTGTAACCTCATTAACAGTATGAACCGACAGACAGTTATAACAGTCGGGGAAGTCAATACAAAGTATTAGCACAGATTATACAGATTATAAAGTTTGTTTTTTCTTTATTGTTTTTCGTGGTTCCAATTTTCGGAATCGGACACTAGTTAGGTTACTAGTTTGCGCACATAGCACGCCCACTTATGGCCTCTAAAATTGTGCACAGCGCCTGACCGGCACAGTTATTAGAGAGATATCGGAAAACCCAATAGCGTCATGCAGTATTTACGCGTACCTTATCATGGTTACGATATGCGCGAGTAAAGGCGCTAGTCAATTTTTAATGCAACACCCTCTAATAACGTTACCGCCTGACGTAATTTGCGGATCAATTACACCAAGCGCTATTTCTAAATAACGTTTAAAAATTGCTTAAATGGGCATGTGCGGGTATTTGACAACCGGGGCCGGCCGGCGACATCTTTTATTTTAGGTTATGTTTGAATTGTTTTCAATTATTACTTTAGTTTTATTAGGTAATTTGATATTTAAGTAGCTGGGATTAGTTTTAATTAAATAAATATGGATTCCACCTCTTCCAATATTAAAGAACCTATAAAGAGGCTTAGGTTTACAGCAGATGACAACTTAGCCCTTCTAAGAGAATTTGTTGCTTGTTGCCCTAAACCCACTGGCAAACGTTGAACAATAAAGCACTGGAAATAAGCACTTTTGCCCTTTAGTTTTAAAATACCTAGTAAACAAAACAATTTCAAAGTTTTAAATTCAAAGTTAGGTTAAGTTTAAATAGCGGACGCGACGCGAACAGAATTCTTTCCGATCCGATAACTATAAATGAAGAGAGTTAATACCACCTCACGTAAAGGAAATAACACCTGGCCTTATTAACCTCCATGCACGCTATTCGGTTTAGCGATATCTCTCTATTACGCTGTTTATTGTTATTTACGCGAGTTTATTTTTGCGCACAGGAAATTTTACTCGTTTGCACATCGTCATAAAAAAACAATTTTCGTACCCCGAATTAGGGATAAGATTTTTATCTGTATACATATAGTATACTTAATCTGTGGTATTAGAGTATTTTTTACAAGTTTTTTGTTTGTTGTAACTAAGTGTACATAGTTATTACAGTTATTTTTTTTAACATCCTTAGTTCTGTTAGTGTTAACCAATCCTGTATCGTTACTTTTTAACGGCAAGTTGTTGGTGGCAAGTTCATATTTCGCTCTTAAAAATTAACCAAGGCATGTGTGAAAAAATGCATGAGTGAAAAAAAGAAATGTTCAGGAGACATGGTTATGATCGAAAAATAATGTTTTAGGAAAAGTTATTCACGAAATTATTGCACAGGGTGTTTTTTGTATACATTAAAGTAGGAATTATCTTCCAAAGAAAATTGCAAAAAAAACTTCCACCCATTTTATATCTATTTTCATTTTGCTACCACTCGTTATTTTTTCTAAGGCAACATAATTTTGAATAAATTGATTGAATTCAATTGACGTACAAATCTTGGGGACGGACATCACGTCTGGTCACTTTACAAAAAATATGGAATGTCTTTCTTTCTTTTAGTAGTTCTTTTTATTGTTTTCTAGATGATGACGTGGTGGTTTACTACTTTCATGGCACCAGCGATCAAACAGAAGGTCCACAGTTTACCTGGCGTGGAGTATTTGTATTCTGTCATGTCTCCTGACCAGCTAGAAATACCAGCATTCATCACAGAATACGATATGACCGTAAGTATAAAATATTATTCATTCATTTTATGTTTCATGTCATTAAAACATTTTATACCATTAGTTATTATCCAAGATACGAGGGTTATCCACATAATACCCTTTGCTAATCCATACCGGGGTGGTCTGAAAAGTTTCGTTGACTTTTCAATAGTACAAAATCATTTTTCCTTAAAATTTTACACCGGTACGTTTTAACCAATCAAAATGATTTATTTTGAGACGTCACCCTGTATATTTAATAGACTATTATTTTTTTTTATTTTGCAGATTAATGGTTTGAGGTACTTCCAGCCAGGTGGCGCTCCGACATAATTCTAACCCCCCTTTTTCGTGTCCCTCCCCCTCGTATTCTAGCTCAAAACCCAACGCCGCAATCGCGAGAGATTAAAAAAAACTAGTATTATTAATTACACACAGGTGATAAGACGCAATATTTTATTAAAAAAAACATGAAATAAAAGAAGTATATTATAATATGAAGAGAGGAAATTTTAAGAGATAATAGATAAAAAAATGAACTAATATTATTATTAATATAGTGCTACTTGTTACGTTATAAGTGTGTGCCAATCGTATATCGTTATTTCGACTATTTGAAGATAAAAAAATATGTGAGAGAGAGAGAGATAAAAAGAAGCTACATAACTATTTTTTAACTGAAAAAAAAAGAGTTACTTATCTGGGATATTTTTATTGGAATGCGTGATGTGTGAATGATAAGCGTGAAATAAATTATTGCTTGAAGCAAAAATAAAATAAGAATATTGTTGACGCAAAGCAAAACATTTTCTAACGCTCTGTATATTATTATCGACTAGATAGAAGCAAATCTCAGTTTTGAAATGCCTGTATACCTTAAAAACTACATCCTGTATATTTTGGGGATTTTTAAAATCGACTTTCTGTTTTATAGAATATGTTGTATATTTCTGTAGAATGAAAAAAAAATAGGTATTTTAAAACTGACATTTTTTTCTGCTTCTGTTTTTTTTTCGTTAAAAAATTAACAAATTCAAATGGAATATAATTATAAAAGGCTTTAAACACAAATGATTTGGGATTTTTTACATCATTTAACATATAATCAATTGAAAAATAAATGTTTAGTGTTTTTAGAGTAAAATAATTTTACGGGACATTTGACCTACTCTATCAATAATGCCTTGAAAAGGGCACTATGATGCTTCTTTTTTCCATAATACGGTTTAAAAATTGTTAAATGACGCTCATATGGAATAAAATCTAAAATTATAAAAAGGTTTTCTTTAAAAATTAACACAAATAATTCCGGTTTTTTTTTTCAATGATTAAACGTGATAGTCATTTGATAAAATAATGTTTTATTGTTTTTAGAGTAAAATAATGTTACGGGACATTTGACCTACTCTATCAATAATGCCTTGAAAAGGGCACTACTATACTTTTTTTCAATAATACGGTTCAAAAATTGTTCAAAGACGTTCAAATGGAATAAAATCTAAAATTATAATTCCCGATTTTTTTTTCAATTTTGTGTGTTTTCGAGAAAAATTGATTACGGGACATTTGAACTACTTTATGAATAATGCCTTGAAAATTTTTATTTATTGTATTCCAGACTAGCATTAATGCTTATATTCCATGCGAATTTTTGATAATGCTTATAATTTGAGGGCCCCAAATCCCGCTCTAACCAAACTTATGCTTACAGGGTTGTTGAATAGTTAAAATAAAATCTAAAACGCACCGTATTAGTAACCGTTCACCCGTTTCGTCGTTTTCAATCCTATCACACCCCCTTTTTGACGATTTTATAGACATTTGTGATTGAAACAGTGAGCAGTGAATCTTGAGCTCAGCGAGCCTTAGTCGACATACTAGTTCGTTAGTAAGATTGTTATTACATTCCGTTTTAAATAAAAGAAATAAAAATGCTTTTTTACCATGCGATTTCATGGTATAGCGGTAGGGTTGTCTTGAAATATCGATATTTTTATTTTAAAAATATATCGATATTTAAAGGTCGATAGTGTCAGGCATCCCTATATAGGTGAAATGTTGTTAACAGTTTTTTAGGTAGGTTTGAAGAGGAAACAAAGCATTTTAGAGCTGTGTGTGGTATCAGGGTTCTTTAAAAGTGCAAAAACAGTAGAAAAGAAGCATGTAACAGCAGTATAGTATATTTTCCAGTCTCAATATACCATAAAACTGACCAAAATTAAAGAAAATATCTTTGGACTCGAACGAAAAGTACTTTTCTGCTCCGTACATATTTTTCTCGCATTCACAAAAAGGAACAATCAGAGTGATACCTCATTCTAGTTAATTGTTTTGCTAAGATATACAAGGCTTTTCGGATATAGCCCTGTATACGATGATTTGTTTATACAGGGTGGTCGTTAAAAGTACGCCAAGAAAATTTCTTAAATATTTTTTTTTGGGAAAATTTATATGTTTGTAGGATTTTTTTTTGAAATTTCTTAGGCGTTCTTTAGAATCACCCTGTATTGTTTTAGTGCAAATTCGGCTTTAATACGTAGAACGTAAGACTTTAGTTTTAAGTTATTTTTTTTATGTAGTCCAACTAATTTTATGTAATTATATAATACGTTATACTCGTTACAAATTAATCATTTTTTTTTTAAGTTATATCCAATTATATAAGTTTCTACTTAACAGAAGGTATATAGTAAATAACAGGTGGTTCAGAGATAGATGAAGATATAAATATATTTTTTTGATGGTCACCCCAAGTTATATATTTTAATAATTTTATTGTAAAGAAATCCTTGAGGTATATTGTTATCGCAAATAAATAAAAATAATATTATTGACTATTCTGTTTTTTCTTTTAAATTTAAAAAAAAATGCCTGTATTTTTTTGTGGTCATATTAATTTTTATTAAATGCAAATATAAGAGTCATTTAACATTAATATATTCAATAAATGCAAATTATTTTGATATATATTGTGGAATTAATTGTATAATAAGTAGAATCAAATTTTTCTATTAACGTTCAGAGTTATGTAGTAAAAAACATCCAAAGCTTCTCAAAAAATACTTTTACCTTATTTAGTTACCCTGTTTTTGTTTAAACTTTAATAAAAATCGCTCTTAGGCCTTATCCTAACGGTAAAATAGAAAAATTCAAGTCTCCCCTTGTGTAAATATTTGGAATTTTAATATGTGTACTTTGAACAAACCCCGCTATTCCGTTTTCGCTATACAATTACAGCACGGAACACGGGGTTTTCTCACGAAAGGGATTCACACGCTGGCTTGAAAATCCTACAAGAAGACAGTCGTCTTGTTCATGTTCGGTGATGTATCTTACAATCTCCTTTACGGAAAGAGATACTGGCATTCTCTTAATCGCAGCTTCACGGCGGAGTTGCTCGGTGATAGCGCGTTGCTGTTGAAGATTTGAGACAACCTAAATCACGAATCAATTAGCTCTAATTACTTGTAAAAAACGAAAAACTTACCATGTCCATATATATCGTTTTTGTCAAACCTATGTTGCAAACACTCAGAAAATTGAGCTTATCTGCGCTTCTTTGGCACTGAAAACATAATATAATGTTAAAATATATTGCGAAAATGTGTATTTACAAGAAAAAATACCTTTTAGAGCTGTAATTTCCGGGTTTCGCCCTTTTTTTCTTAATTAATCAGATCTTGATAACGTCAATCTCAGAGGTCAAACAAACAAACATGGAGAAACGTCTGTCACAAATAATTCTTTCTGTGGCTTGATGTGTTTCTAACTTCACTGATTTAGGAAATGCCAGTTAAGTTCTAAGAAGAAGATCTAGTAGCTTAGGCCTTTCAAAAAAACATAAGAAGAAGATTTTATAAGTAACCTCAATAAACAAAAATGGAGTTGGATTCTGATTCGGAGGATGATTTATTAGCTCAAATACCGATAGAAGATTATCAAGACATAGCAGGTAGATTTTATATTACTAAAAAAATATCTTAACAATAACAGAAAACATTTTAAGGGCCGCCAACTTCTAGAACATCTCTGAGATCGAAAGATAGACCATTTGAATATGATCAACCCGGTTTGTTTTGATCTAGTTTATGCTATATTTACTTATATAACGTTATTTACAGGCCCTTCAACCTCAAGAGATGTATCAAACTCAAGAATTACAGTTTCAACACCTGAGGATATTCAAAACCAAGCAGGTGAGTTGTAATTTTTATTAGACTTAACTGAAATTATAATCAGCAATGTTTTAAGGCCCTTCAACTTCTGGATTAATTCATAGACCAAAAGACAAAGGTAAACGAAGTATTAGTGATTCTGTGTTTGAAGATGTTCCACTTGAAGGTGATCAACCAGGTTCTTCAACCTCCAAAGATGTACAAAATACAAGCAAAGTCTCTAAAGCGATTCAAAACAAGCCAGGTATGTTGTAACTTTTATTTAGAATGATTTGAATTATAATCAACAGTATTTTAAGGTGCTTCAAGACCTACAGAACAAATAACAGCAAAGAGTAAAGGTGGAAAAAATAGTCTTTTAGTGAACCCCAACCAAAGAGGTAATCCTCTACTAAAATCAATAACTCGTGTGGTATGGGAGTTTGAAGAAATTGTACCTGATTACCAAATGGGGGTACAAATGTGTGCCTTGTTTTTATCGATAAAATATCACAATTTAAAGCCAGATTACATTCATGAAAGGTTAAAACAGTTAAAGGATATGTACAAGCTGCGAGTTCTATTAGTTTTGGTACAGTATTTTAGTTATTATGTTGTGAAATAATTGAATTATATTTTTCATTTTCAGGTAGATGTAAAGGATCCTCATTACACCTTAAAAAACTTAACAAGAATGTGCATCTTGGCAGACTTAACATTGATCTTAGCTTGGAGTTCCGATGAGGCAGGTAAAATTTTAGAGACCTACAAAATGTACGAAAATAAACCTCCAGATCTTATAATGGGTAAAAGTGAATCTGCTCCATATCTAAAGGTAAGTGCTTATCTTACTATACAGGGTCCTGCAACAGTGTGTGCATCTGTAGCTACTGTAATAAAAAACTTAGAAATTTTGTGGAAACCTAAGGTATTTATTAGAAAGTATTTCAAGAAAATGTTGTAACTTCTACAGGGTTAAGTTCATTTTTTAATTCTCCATCTAACAACAAAATTATATACAGGGTGTTCGATTAAAAAAAAAAGAAGAAAAATTACTGTACGATTTAAGATTATTATATTTAAAATTAAGTACAGACCAACCATAGTAAGTATTTAGCATAGTTTTGATTTCAGAAAACATCTTATATTTTTAGTATTTTTTCTAAGAAAATATTGAAAAATATTTTTTTCATTTATTTATTTATATCAAAAAATCATCCCAGTTCACTCATACTTTGTTGAGTCACTCTGTAGAAGTTAAAATAGTTACCTGAAATAGGCCCTAGTACATACTTTAGGTATACACTCAAGTTCTTTTTTATAAGTACTACCAACACACTTTTGCAGCACATTGTATGTATATTCTTAGTTAGGTATTTTGTTGTAGATAATTCAGGCACTAACAACAATTAAACCGATAAATAAAACAGATGCTATGAATTTATTGAGTAGATTTAACACACTTGAAGGTATTATAAAGGCTAGTGAATTTCAAATATCAGAATGTCCAGGAATAGGACCTAAAAAAGCTAAAAGGTTATATAATGTTTTAAGGGAAAATTTTTGCAAATAGATTAATCTTTTGTATTAAAAAAAAAACACATTAAACATAAATATTTTTATATTGTCTAAAAAATACAGTACAGAGAACTATATACAATTATTTTATTTATCTTTATCACTTGTTGTCTCCTCAATTTTTAAATCTTTCGAATAAAATCTCGTTATAATCCAACACAAAAGAATGGGAACACATGAAAACAACACAACAGCTTCCTTTGCAAACACATTACATGTAAAACCAAACAACACAGGTGTTGTTAACCCTGCCACAATACTAGCCGACTGATTTAGCTTTATAAGATTGTTATCTTTCCGTTCTGAGAATAATTCTTTCCATAAATCGGTCAAAAAACTCCTGATTACTATGATTGGAATCAGTAGTATCACGAACATTTCATAATATGGTGCGTAGCAAGCAAATAGCAGGAAAATTGTTTCAAAAAAGAAGGCTATTTCGCTTAAAAACACTTCCGGATATTCCTGAGTCTTTGATTTAATCACTGTAGTTAGGTATGTGGCAGAAAACACTAAAATATTGATATATGATGCTGTGTATCCTATCCTCATACTACTTGCTGCATAGTTGTGTTTTAGAATTTGTGAAAACTTTGAAAAAAAGATCATAACACTGGAAGAAAATAAATATTTCATAAACAGCATGTCCCAGTGCTTGTTGTAGTTGGATTTTTGTAAATCTTGCAGTCTTTCTGATACATTTCCTATGGCTTTTTGTAATACTGATTTATCTGTGTGCTCTGGATTCTTATCTTTATTATCATTAGCTACATTCATAAGTAGACCTAGGCGTAAAGAGATAAAATAAATGCTGTGTCATGTAAACAAATAGTAAATAATTTTATTACCAGAGTTAATGGAGGCTAGAAGAGCAACTAAAACACCGATATAGCCAAATCCTATGTCAAATAAGTGTCCGCTGATAATGGGGCCCAAAATAAAGCCCAACCCACTTAAAATACTGTAATTTGAGCGTATTTTTCCTTTCTCATCGTCATTTTGGGCACGGTTAAGTAATAGTTCCAGGCATAATTTTTGTGATTGATTTGTTAAGCCTAAAATACGTATCTAAATTTCATGGTAGATAAATTAATTTGTATTTGCACTTACTGAACAAAATCCTAACTAATATCGTAAACCAGTAGCTATCAGTTAAGACCAGCAGCAAATGAGTTACTAGGGATGTGTTAAGGATAAGAAATAGTGCATATCGTTTGCCATTAAGATGAGAAAATAATTTCTAAAAAATGAAGGTTTTTTAAAAATAATATAATTTTTTATATTTTATTTATATTTCTTACTGTAACTTCTGGAGATAGGAGTTCTCCTAATATAACTCCAACAGCTAGAATTCCAACATGAACGTGATTACCTCCAAGTTTCAAAATGTATGGTGAAATAAATGCGTATATTAGGCCGTAGCTGAGTGAGTCCTATTAAAACATATTATGCAATAATATTAATAATCTTTATTATAATAATATTATACTTACGAGCGCTGTAATTAATTGAAGATTGCGTATCGCACTTTTTGAGCTCATTTTGTAGGTAGTTCGCTGGTAAAGGGGATTAGAGAATTAAGCAAGATTTCAAGGGAACTTTTTCTTCGTGGTTTTATGCATCATTGGTTTTTAATTACTGTGCAATTATACTAAAAATTTAATTTTACTTTATCTAATCAAAATATTTCTTTCAATCAGATCATATTTATTAATTTTTGAAATACGAGTAGTCTGAAGTTAGGCACTACTTTTAATTACAATCATATATGTCTGTCATATATTAATTTTTTTGTCATATATAAAGAATATTTGAAGCCAGGTAGAATAAAAAGAAGAAGAATTTCTTCGCTGACAGATGCAAAAAGTTAGGTTAGAATTAGTTTAAGTTCATGTATTTTAAAATTTATTTTATTTTGGTAAAAACATGGAAAGCAACAATTGTAGTTATTTAAACAGTGAACGTCTCGAAATTTTAGATAAGGAAGACAATAAGCATGTTGACATTGCTGTAAACATTACCAAAGGTATGTTAGTTAATTCAATCTTGATATTTTGATCTAACCATAGTATATTTTTTAAAAAAACATTGCAGATATTGCAGAGAAAAAAATATCAATATTAGACGTAGTTGAGAAGCTGGGATATTTATTAGTTAACGCATCGTTTACCAAGCGAGAAATCGGGGTATTGATATTATCAGAAACAGTTCAAAAGATCGATTCTAAAGCATTAAACCCTGAACAGCTTTCTTTTTTATGTTCATACTTTTCAGAGAAGTTAAAGGATCATCACCAAGTAGTATAATAACAATAAAAATTGTACAAAATAATTAAAAAAAGCTGTTTTTAGGTAGCTACATCAGCTTTAAAAGGTGTTTATGCATTAATTAACATTCAGCATATTCCAAATGAATCTGTAGTACACCTTCTAACAACTCTCTTTAATCATATTACTTGTCAACAACAGCAACAGCCAGACAGATACCTTATTTATGAAATATATGAAACTGTTTTGAATAAACACATTAATGGTAAAGTAGTTCATCTGTCCCATTACATTCAAACGTGAATATCTATCTTTTAGTGGTTGAAAGTATGGGAATTGACTTTGTTTACGGTGTAATATCGTCTATAGATGGAGAAAGAGATCCAAAGAATCTTATTTACTTATTTAAATGGCTGCAAGTGTTTTTAAAAAAAGTAAAACTTGCTCATCTTAGTGAGGAAATGTTTGACGTGCTGGCTTGTTATTTTCCAGTTGATTTTAAAGCACCGCCTAGTGACAAAAATGTAAGCTATATTTTAGACTGTTATCTGTGTTTAAACATGTTATTTTTTATAGAAAATTACAAGGGAAGACTTGGCTGAAAGTCTAGCAAAATGTCTCACTGCTATACCTGAATTTGGTACACTTGCTATTCCTTTAGCTTTAGAAAAGCTGGATTCAGCTTTAAAGATTGCCAAAAACGATTCTTTAAATTTACTAGTAATTATTTAATTATTTTGTGTTATGTATTTGTAAGTTTATAAATGTTTTAGGTAGATGGTTGTAAGAATTTTGATGCAGAAACTTACTCAAATTTTTCTTTAGAAATCTATAATCAACTACAAAAAGATATTTTTAGTACACCTGATGAAGAGATAAGACAAAAATATCTCGCTTGTGTAAAAGAGGTTGTCAGAAAGTTAGGCACTCAATCAGATCAGAACAAATTTAATATAACTCTATCCGATATAACTTTATCATTGAAACAAAACTTATTGCCTGATTCAAAAATGTTTGTTCAAACTTCCCAAATTTTACTTTCTGTGGCTCAGGCTAACAAAACTTCAGCTATTTATGTTGCTAAAATAGTATGTGGCTTTTTGGGAACTTCATACCAAATTACAGCAAATTCATCTCAAAAAATTCAACAACTTAGAGTTTATATAGATTTTCTTAAAACAGCTGTTCAAAACAATCAGGATTTTGATTTAAACAGCATTGAGGAAATTTCTAATGCACCAGCTTTGTTTTTACAAGCTATACTTCAAGATGATGCTAATCTTGTTGTTGAAGGTTTCAAAGGATTTATACAAACAGCCAAGTTTTTAAATGACAGTGTTAGAAACGTTTTGTTTGAAAATTTAAAGAAATTGATTGTTCTAAACCATAGTGAACCATTAAAAAGTGTTATTAATGAATGTTTAGCGAAAATGGCTGAGAATTTTCATAAGGAAGTTGAAAATAAAATATTATATAATGAAATAATAGAAGATGTAGTTAAAGTTGACAGTTATATAGGAAGTTTATGTTGTTTGGTGAAAGTTCCATATTTTGAAAACTATGTTATTGATACTGTAATTAGATATTCTGTACAAAACTTGGACTGTAGCAAAGTTGTTTTGAGGCATTTATCATTTTATTTGGGCCAAAATTCCAGATTTATAGGGCTTTTATTAGGGAAAAAGTTCATATCAAATTTAACAGAATTTTTACAAAATATACCTGCTTCTGATAGTATAGATACAGAATATTTACTGAATATAAGAAATGTTTTGGTTGAATTATTAAAAAAACAGGATGCCTCTGTACAAAAAGACATTTATGTTCATGAAGTTAAGAAGAATTATCAAAATCAAATCACTTTGTTAACAGTACTCAGTGGATTGATTACTCCTTTCAAAAAGTCACTTTTTGATGATTTTAGTAAAACTGATTTTTTATTAAATTGTTGTTTAAACAGTTTTGATTATTTTGTGCAAGACACTGCAACAGAAACATTAGCGAATATTTTAAATAAAATTACTGAAGAACATTTTCTACAAAATGAACTACAAAAAATTGAACAAATCTGTGAGGGTTGTGAGGAGATAAATAAAAAAGTTAAGCTTACTTCTTGGGTAGTTAAAGGTTTGGTAACAAGAAACCATCAAACAGCTTGGACATGGACTGATAAATTAATAAATTTATTAAATCAAAACGCAAATACCGCCATCGGTTTTAGAATAGTAATGGACGAAGTTCATAGCAGTTTAACTCGAGAAAATAATTGTAATATTATGTAGGGTGATGAAGTTTTTTATTTAAGCCCCTTAAAAATTTTAAAAATACTTTTTTAGGCCACTGTATAAACAGAAATTTTACATATACGTAACCAACAAGATTTGTACAATAAACGGACACGATCAAGCCTCATATTACAATACTATAGGATATTTAATTGAACATGCACCCAGGCAGGCTGTTATAGGACAATTTAAAAAAGTAATTCACAATAAATATTATACAGGGTGTCAGAATTAATCTGGAACGCCCTGTAAATATCACACATATGATCGAGAAAAAAAAACGGCGTCACAGTGACCTAATTGATTAGTTCGAAGACCACAATGACACCGTTTTTTTTTCGAAGCGGTATTTTTCGTAATACTATTTTTTTCTTAGGTTTTAAAATTGACGTTTCTCTGTCTAGAAAATAGTAGGGATCCCGAAGTTTTGGAAATATTAATTTTAAGGATAACCGATTTTGTAGTTAGTAAGGAGACAGTTATTGAGGATAATTTGGAAGATATTTTGCTTAGGTTGCTTAATTTGACTACTTTTGAGCATTCCATGGTAATTTTTGACGTTTTTTGTGTTAAAAAAATGTTTTTTTATCTCATTTTTTTATAGAAAGTACGTATAGCAGCTATCAAAGCTATCAGAGGTTTTACGAATAACTATCCAATCTATAAATTAGTGCCTTTCCAACAGAAAGTTATTAGGGCTTTAGGTCAGTGCATAGATGACAGAAAGAGAATAGTAAGAAAAGAAGCTACAGAGTGCAGATCTTTATGGTTCCTTTTGGACGCCCCCCTGTAGTAAAATCGTTCAAGTATAGAATTTTATTTTATTAATTTTTTGTTGAAAAAAAAAACACGGTTATTAATTTTTGAAGTCGTTTTATTTCTGATAAATAAAGCAATTTTTTAGTTTAACCTATGTACAAGTCAAAACAAAAACTTCCCTATACAGTGTCATGATTTTTTTGAAAAATATTTTGACTAATTTTTCCTAATTGCAATATGACAATGTATTGTCACAATAAGAGAGATCGATTCTAATAGACAAGTTTCACTTTTTTAAATAAAAAAATCCTAATTAACTTAAGATAGAAAAATAAACGGCGTCACAGTAGTCTTTAAAATGACAAACCATGACAATTTCTCCGTCGGGTCCTCCTCTATATGGCATTTCTTTTAAAATTTACATAAAAACGTATTGATTAAATGCAAAATTAAAATAATTATTTAAATAACAAAGAAAGTAAAAAGATTAACTTTTCTTAAAAATTTATTTGGGTTTGATTTTTTAATTTTTTTGTTAATATACGACTTAGTATAGAGGGCGCCCGATTGAAATTATAATCGATTGGAATTTCAAAAGCTAATATGACGCCGTTTTTTTGTCGTTTGACCATACTGTATACATTAAATGCTTTTTAACAATCTAATGGTTTTTATCAATAAAACCAAAATTGAAATAGTTTTTGAATCGGGGATGGACGTTTACGTGACTCATCTCGTTTTTGTGTATTTTGTTGCGTAAAATACCCGTAAAAAACAGTATAAAATGTAAAAAAAACACTAATAAAAAAATTAAAAATGGCATTTCCCTTTCTTCTGAACATACATTTTTTATTCGTTCTGTCTAAATTTCGACTTCTACACAAAATAAAAAACAAATATAATAAAAAAATTAACAAACAGGATAAAACAAATTAAAATATCACTTTTACAAAGGTAATTTAATAGCTTAAACGTACAGATAGTTTTAAAGGACCTTTAAAACTTTATATACATACGTTACGTTTTCTGAAAACGTAAAAACCTCAGAAAAATGCTTTTTACATATGAAAATAGTTTTTTACACGTAAAAAATATTTTTTTACACGTAAAAAATAGTTTTTACACGTAAAAATAGTTTTTACACGTAAAAAATATTTTTTACACGTAAAGAAATAGTTTTTTACACGTAATAAATAGTTTTTTACACGTAACAAATATTTTTTTCCACGCCCATCCCTGTTTTGATTTTTTTCCTAGAAATGTTCACTCATCATCACAACGCTCAGGGCTGTCCACCCTGTAAAAGGCCTACACCCACTACCCTCCCCTGTTTTATCATTGTACTGCTCCCAAATGTACCCCGTTTTGTAGTACTGTCTTATCACATTGTCCACCACATTCTTCCTGAGTTCTTCATAAACTTTTTTCGCTTGATCCTGATACGCCCCTTCGGTTTTCGAATAGTGGGCCAAAGCTTTGACGGCCAAAAAATTGATGTTCACCCATATTTGACCCCTCCAATATGGCGGATCGTGTTCAGTGTTCCTTTTCATGTAAAGCGGCGAATTTTTTGACAGCGATCTGAGTCCGTAGTCGGTCCAGATGAGGTTAGGATCGCGGATGTCCGTCAGTATTTTGCCGAGTTTTGGTGAGTTTGGTTCTAAAATTTGCAGTAAAAATGGAAAGACGTTGACGTATCCGAACGTGGAGTCTACCAAGCGGTATTCCGGTTGTTTTGAGACGGTTCTGATCATTTCGAGGTTCTGGTTTTGTTGTCTGGGCAGTGATTTGGGTCGTACTAATTTCACAGAGTCTGTATGAAGTCCGTAATCGGCGTATCTAGAGTGTAAAATAAAAATACTTCTAAAAATCTCCATATAAAGTTTTCTATTTGAAATTATTGTATTTAAATCACCCTGTATATCTATTATCTAAAATTATAGATTGGAGTAAAAATCTCAAATATTTTTTGGAAGGCTGGGTCACCCTGTATACACATTTTTGACCATAATATACAGGTTAAATTGGTATTAGAACACATTTTTTTTATTATATAATACGTCAACACTCTGTACAGAGATATAAGTACAATATGATCCAAAAAACGCGTAAGAGTGACCTTTGAATTTCCGATCGATGATAATTTCTGTCGGGTCAAGCTCTATGTGTCATTTATTAAAAATCGCTATAATAATTTGCCAAAAATTAATATTTATTATAGAAAAGAAATCAAGGAAAATCCAGACAAAAATGTATTTTTCAAAAATATTTTTTTTACATATAAATATTATTTTTTTGACAAATTTGTACGTTGGATACGAATTTCGCAAATTTTGTGCGAAACAATGACGTCTTCCTGTCTTTAAATGAATATTTTATTCATTTATTTTTGTCTCAGAAAACATACGAAATTCGGATGCACGAAAACTAAGCTTAACCTCGATCCGACAGAAATTACCGTCGATCGTCTTTTCAAAGGCTACCGTGACACCGTTTTTTTTTCTGTAATACAATCTTAAAAAACGTTGAATATATTATGTACTCGGCAAAGTATTCTTACCTCTCCGAAAAGTTAGACCAATGCAAGTTATCCATCAGCTCATTGTTGTACAGATAATCAGCAGTTTGCTGGTACTTTAAGAACGATTCTCGTCCTAAAATTATCCCTAAACGCGCCATAGTACTGGAGGCTACAGCCATCCAACAGTACAAATCAATATGTCTTTCAAGTTCAGTCGGATGTGAAGCTCTAAAATAGTTAAAACACATTTTTTAGCTGATTTTTTTCAAAAATAAAATTTTTTGGTACCTAGGGAAATCATCTAAACCCGATGTGAGCGTTTTTGGGTTCAATTCTCTATCCGTTAAAGGATCGCGACCTCTCCACCTATATGAACCCGCCACAGGTCCAATTTGTGTATTATTGAACCACTGGAACCAAGCCTGTTGTATAAAAATTTATTATTTTTTAACTGAATGAAAAAAAAATACAATTTTTTAAATTACTTGCAGTCTAGGATACAGTCTTTCAAGCATTGCCAACCTCTCGTTAGTAAAATCTTCCTCATACTTATCCAAAATATACTGTAAGGTCAAGAAAAACGTTGGAGGGTTCGCGTTCGTATTCCATTGTACCACAAACTCGGCAGGTACTTTCGCTACAGCCTCCAAGCCTAAAATCTGCTCCCTTGGTATCCAACCTTCCACATTAATCAAGTCAAACCAATGACCAATAATGTCCAGCTCTATATCCAGGTCCCATTGAGAAATTAAGAGTCCATGGAAGCCTTCATCCCATAGAAAACCTCTTGGGAAGAAACTCCTTGATGGTACTGCTGTATACAGTGGTGCCCTCCAGTAGTTTATGGGTTCTTTAGTATAGAAACTTTGTACCTTTGAGGCGCCATAGAAGTACCCTATGCCGCCAATCATATTGCTTAGTGCTGCTTGCGCGAAATTAATTTGTTTCTGGTTATAACTACAAAGATTAGCTGTAGATTAAGTTAAAATAAAGTATATAATTAATACCCTTTTGATTTTAATGCAAAAGTGTCCTCAAACCTTTGGTTAAATCTACTTTGATGCCATTCTAAGGATTCTGAATATAACTCTCCAACTAACTTATCTTTTCTATTGACTACTGTCTTAGATTCAAAGACTACATCTATACTAAACGGTAGTTTAGCTGTGACTTGTATTGCTACAAAATTTGGATCTTTCTGCGAAAAGCAATATCTAAGTCTTGAACTGATATAAATTATTGTACTTACTCTTTCAACTCCTACAGGGTTGATTTGTCCACCTAAAATTATTTTTCTGGGACCTTTTGGATTGTCTTGAGCAAGTCTTAAAGCTGATATCACAGTTTCTTTTAATAGGTTAAGTCCAGGAGATACAGTGCTCAAAAATGATTCGTGATCAATTTCGCCTGTTTGTGGGAAAAGTTTCATTTTAAACTCCCCCAAACTCGAAGTTTCTCCTCTTATGCCTGTGACTTCTGTTGCTGAGTTCGTGGGAGCTATGAAGCCTTCTGTTTCTGCATCCAGAGCAGCGTACCATATTATAGACACTTGTTCTGTTGGATCTATCATGTCCTTATACTTATTCTAGTAAAATATGTCTTAAAATGTGTTCAAACAGTGTACTAAAATAATGGATACTCACAATAACATCCACAGATATTCTTGCAGTCCATTCACCACCATTTTGGCCTCCTGGATTTTTTACAAAGGATGTGGTCAATATAAAAGGACCATCCTCTATATCCTGAACACCAAAACTGCTTCCATCATGTTGCAACCAGCCATATTTACTTAAATTATCTCCTTGTTCACACCAGTGTCTATAAAAGAAAGGAAATAATAATAAAATAAGCAAGAAAGTATTTTAATAATGTACCTGATACCATCACCTCCTGGTCGTAATCTCTTTGGAAAATACCACATTAGACCTGTTACCATGGAATGTGGATGCCTGGTTTTCAGGCCAAAGTATACTCCAGGCCTGTAAGAACCCCAAAATTGTTCGGGTACATTTAGGCCTGTCCTAGCTACCACCTTAAAAGTAAGACGCTTGTTGTATATAAAAAATAATAGTTGTGGAAACGTTACCTTTTTATTATCGAAAGGGGTGTTTACTCTAGTTTCTAAGTAACCCATATAACCGAAAATTATAGCAACACCTAAAACTATAACTAGAACTAATTGCTTCCAGAAGTGAAAGACGTTTTTCTGCCTCGGGATTTTTGTGTTTGGAGAACTACTTCCATTGCTACTACTGCTATTTCTACTCTTTGTTTCTTTACTGCTTTCCGGCAAGTTTTTACGTTGTCTTGCCATGTTATTTAAACAAAAATTCAGGTTTTAAAATAATTTCTTCGAAAATTTTGACTTTGACAACCGTAAGTTAGGTTAGAAATAATCTGAATTTTGCCCACAGATAAAATCGTTGATATTTACGTGCCACAGATAACGACTAGAAAATATTTTGTTTTATCTTTATCGCGCTTGGTGATTTATTGATCAAACTTCTTTTTCTACAAAAAAAAATGACAGCAGACGATTGACAAAACAAACAACCTTGACTTTTACGTTGTCAACAAAATGTATGTTTATTTTTCTATTTAAAAATGATAAAAATGTCCTGTTTGCGTGATCATTTATATTGTATCCAGTTTGTCAAGCACATTTGCAGGGGGGATAGTGTCGTATTTATAGCGTCAATCACGCCAATTCATCGACTTGATATATAACTCCAAGCGCCAGGTATTTATAAAAATAACATAATGTCGAGCGAAACAATTCAGCCCTGCAATTTGACTTGCGTTAAAAAAATGGGGCAAAATGGAATCGTGCAGCCTCTTTTAACTGATTTATATCAAATTACAATGGCCTATGCGTATTGGAAGGCCGGAAAAACCTCTGCAAACGCGGTATTTGATTTGTTTTTCCGCAAAAACCCGTTCCATGGAGAATTTACCATCTTTGCCGGTTTAGAAGAATGCCTTAAGTTTCTTGAGAAGTTCTCATATTCAGAAAGTGATATAGAATATATAAAACAAATCCTACCCAGTCACATTGAACAAGAATTTTATGAATACTTGAGTTCCCTAACCGCAAAAGATTTAAAAGTATATGCTGTAGAAGAAGGAACAGTTGTCTTTCCTAGAGTGCCTTTGTTGCGAGTTGAAGGGCCCCTTATAGTGGCACAGTTAGTCGAAACAACTCTTTTAACCCTTGTAAACTTTGCAAGTCTCATGGCTACCAATGCTGCACGATACAGAATGGCTGCAGGTAACCTGAAATTGTTTGAATTCGGCCTTAGAAGAGCTCAAGGACCCGATGGAGGTCTCTCAGCTTCAAAATACAGTTACATAGGAGGTTTTGACGGTACTAGCAACGTCCTGGCTGGAAAACTGTTTAATATTCCTGTTAAAGGAACTCATGCCCACTCATATGTAACATCTTTCAGTGATTTCTCTGAACTAATCACTAAAGAACTACATCCAAAAGATGGTGGACCTTCTAAAGATATTCTGGAGTTAGCTATAGGGTTTAGGAAACGTCTCATATCAATTTTTAATGTTTTACTGTCTGAAGTCAGTGATGGGGAATTAGCTGCTTTTGTGTCGTTTGCCATAGCTTTTCCGGAGAATTTTATGGCACTGGTTGACACGTATGATGTTAAAAAGAGTGGATTAATTAATTTTTGTGCAACTGCTTTGGCTTTGAATGAAGTAGGGTACAGAGCAGTTGGTATCAGGTTAGACAGTGGAGACTTAGCATATCTTTCTAACATTGCCCGATCATACTTCAAGAAAGTTGAAGAAGAGTACAAGATTTCATACTTCAGTAGCCTAATAATCATGGCATCGAATGATATAAACGAGGAAACAATATTGAGCTTGAACGAACAAGGACATTGCATTGATGCTTTCGGTATCGGTACACACCTGGTAATTTTTTGAAATTTATGTTTTGTGATTTTTTTAAATCAATTTTTTTGACAGGTAACTTGTCAAAAACAGCCTGCTCTAGGGTGTGTGTACAAAATGGTCGAGCTGGATGAACGTCCACGTATTAAACTGAGTCAGGATGTGGAAAAAGTGACAATTCCAGGGAAAAAAGATGCTTACAGGCTGTATGGTGAAACTGGATACGCATTGATAGATATTTTGCAAAGGAATTTAGAAGATTCTCCTGCTGAAGGGAAGAAAGTTTTATGCAGGTATGTACAATGGATATTTCAAGTAATAACATCAGTAAAAATTGTTTTTGTAGACACCCATTTCAAGAATCTAAAAGGGCATTTGTTAAGCCCTCCAGCGTGAAAAAACTTCACCAGTTGAGTTTTAATCAAGGCAAAATCTGTAAACCTCTGAAAAATCTACAGGAGGTTAGAAAAACTGTGGAGCAGTCTTTGAAAATCTTGAGGCCTGACATCAAGAGAACGCTAAATCCCACACCGTACAAAGTGTCTGTCAGTGATGATTTGTATCAGTTTCTCCATACTTTGTGGCTGGAAAATGCTCCTATTGGGGAGTTGTCATAGAATTAAAGGATTTAGTAGTTTGGTGTAAGATTCCACCATAGATTTGCATAGGTTTTAGGCTGTTTTTAAACAGGTAGGTATCAGAAACAGTGGCCTTAAAATAGTTCACTTTTTTGAGCATTTATTAGACCTGGTATATTCCATTTTTTGATTTTTTTATTTTTATTAAGATATATTTCGTAGTTTAAGAAAAAAAAGTGTTCATAATTTTTAGCAGGGATGGGTCTCACTAAACAAATTGATTTCTTACACGTAAAAAATAGTTTTTTACGTTAAGTTTTTCTTTGGCTTGCCCATCCCTGGTTTTTAGTGTATCTAAGATAAAGAGCTTTATTAATACCAAATTTCTAAACTGTTATCGCTGTGTGCACATATAGCTCGTAAGTTTATTATTAATTTACTTAAAAGATTTAGAGATAGTTAAGAAGAGTGTTATTATACAGAGCATTTATGTTGTGTACTTAAAATATTTTATATCGTTTTCTACGCGTATCATGTTATATTTAATTTGTTTACTTAGTATTTTAGAACTATGTAGTACAAATTATAGTGTATTATTACCTACTAGGTGTTATTTTGTTTTTAAAGTGACTGACACAAACTTATTCACTAAATTTTTATATTTATAAGTTTATTTGGTTGGTAAAATATTTAAAAACAAGAATAAACTTTATTTTAAAAATATGTTCCTTTTTAAGGATAATATGATTTAAAAGCGTGCTTTATTAATAGATAAAACATTATTTCCTATACCATACAATAATTGAAAAAAAAAACAGTGTCACAGTAACCTTTGAAATGAAGATCGCTGTCATTTTATTTGTAAAATATCATCGATCGTCATTTCCATGGCAACTGGACGCCGTTTTTTTTCGCTCATACGGTATAAGGGGCCTGGAATTGTATTTATAACTTTAATTCAGTTATTTTCAGCAATTTTAAAACTAAATTCGGTATATTTTCTCTTAATTCGTGAATAAATTAAAAACAATGCTCAATGAAAGTGGTTTGTCGCATTTTTATTGGCTAGTATTGATCATTACAACGTTGATCATTACATCTTCATCTTCTACTGTTTTAAAGACTTATGTATATTATTTGAACGTTTTTTTACGAATTTGTTAAAATAAACTCACTAGCTTTTATGATATTTTTCTGTTACGTAATTTTATATAGCTATTCGGAAACGACTTGACAACATCGCAGGTTCCCTCGTAGGTTTCAACGATTTTTCAGTTGTTTTAGAAAAAAATAAATTAGCATAGAGTATTTGTTCATAATCTTTATTTTAGTGCATTACTTAGCCTTTCTATCAAGTAAGTACTCGAAATTTTAAGTTTTTCTTGTTAATTTGTGATTTTTGATCGAAAAAAACTGCTATTGTTCTTCAAGTCATGGATTTGTTTTGGCAAAGGTCGGTATCGACTTCGATATTTTTCGACAGCCTTATTATTGCATAAATTAAGGATAAATTGTTGTTTTTTGAATTTTTGATTTAATTTTCCATTAAACTAATAAATTTTCATTTCTTTGGAATGTATTATTATTGTTTATAATTTTCTTCACTTTTTTTTAATCGATATGTCAGATTGAACGCAAGAAAAAACAATTTTGCTGTTTTGAAAATCGCGGTTTCATGGCAAAGCTGATGCGATTCTTCTGTCAAATATTAATTTGTCTTTTGAATAATTTAATTTATTTTTGTTTTTACTTATTAACTAGATTAATAATTAAAATAAAACAAGATAAATTCTTGATTTGTGATTCAGTTTTTGCATGCTTTTAATATGGATATTGTTGTTTCATTATGATTATGCATATACTGCGATTCTGGTAAGCAAAATAAATTGTTTTTGTTTATATTGGCTTAAATATATTGAACGATAACAAAGTAATTTAATGTCGCGAAAAATGCACTGAATGTTCACAAACGCATTTATTTATTATGCAGTGCTTTTTAAGTATACTTAATGCATTTAATTTTTTACAAAAACATTTGGTTAAATAATATATAATTGAGATATTGTTTTAAAACATGTTTCTGTCAGTTTTCAGTTTTCTTGTGTAGTTTTTTTAATCTTATTTTTTTTTATGAAATTACTACATCATATACACGGTGTTTCAAGTAAAAATGCCCATTAGAGAAAAGTTACGCCTTGCTGAATCCTGATAACGTCATTAGGTTTCGAAATCTAAAAAATCCGAATACTTCCGAAGATTTCGGAATTTTTTTCGGACGTTTTTTTACTTGTTATCTCTATTTTTCTGGCTACTTCATAATACCTTATGATCGAAAACAAACGGCGTCAAAGACAGGTGGGAAATGAGATCGATGATAATTTTGGCTAGGTCAATCTCTAGACTAGTCATCTTCTAAAAATTACAACATTCCAACTGGCAGTAAGCGCCATTAAAAAAATAAAGAAGAGTATAGGCCAAGTAACGACGTCTAGAGCTTGACCTCGCCAAAATTATCATCGATTGTCATTCCCAGCCGTCTTTGACGCCGTTTTTTTCAATTGTATGGTATTTGACAATACAAATTTCATATTCTCATTGAAACTTTTGCGGCTCTACAAGTTTCTGTTACTAGATTTTCAATATCTACATAATAACTTGTAAAAAATTATTTTTATATAGAAAAATTATATACTATAAAATTTTCTAACACAAAAATCTATTTTTCAAACATAATTTAATCACAAGTTTAAACTAGAAAATTGTTATTCAAAATTTGCTGTGCCTTTTTTCTTATATTAATGCATCGTGTGATAAAAATCCAGCGTCAAAAGACCGACGACCGATGATATCCTCTATGTAAACATTACATGGGCATGGGAAATTTCAGTTTTCATTTCAAAGCCAACCCTGATGCTTTTTTCGTTCTTATAGTAAAATATGATCGAAAAAAAAACGGCGTCAGCGATGGTTTTGAAATGAAGATCACTGTCATTTTATATGTAAATACGGTATAATTTTTATGTCATTTTTTATAACATTATAAAGGTCTACGCACATTATCATTTATTGGAATTTCATCATACTTTGGTGTTTTTATTTGATTTATTGGGAAAATACTCATTAAAACACTCGTATAAAACAGAACAAATTATTTATTAATTTCCCTATTTTGTACAATTCTTAAAATAAATATATATAAAACAGAAAAATCTTTTTTACACAATATCAACAAAAAAGAGTAGGGCCTTGGCAGTGACACCATTCGACGATTTCGATGAAAATTGATACATTTTTAACAAAAATAAATCTAGAAAAATAACATTAACAACACAATAGTGATATATAATATGTATAAATATGTATGTATAAAGTGGGGGTAAAAAGAAATAATGTAAAATATGAGCACGTTCAGTAACAAGGCCCTTATTGTATTATCATTTAACTTTGACGTTGTCTGTTGACAAGAAGCAGTTCGTGTTTTTCGATTGGTAAAGCATTTTTATGGCAGTGGCGTGCTCACTTGACCTTGAGGATTTTTTTCACGGCTTCTACCACGTCTTCGGGGCGCGGTAAAGCTGCAGCTTCTAAACTTTTTGTGTATGGCATGGGAATATCAGCACCTATAGATAAAAATTATTTTTTAGTTCATAACTGATGATGATGTGATCTGAAATCTGATGGAGATTTATATTATGATTTCCTATTCTTCAGACTTTTACTTATCTCTTCAGTTAGATTAAGTAATTCTGTGCTGACCTTTGAATAAGGAGATTAAAGAAGGAACATATAAAAAAACTTATCGAAATTTATCGCATTCAAAAAACCAAATATATATACCAAATACCATGTGAATGCGATACATTTTACATTGGTGAAACATCTAGACCCTTAAATGTTCAAATTAAAGAACATAAAGATTATTTAAGAAAGGGAGATTTTCACAAATCTAAGATTTGTCTGCATTTATGGGACACAGGGCACAGAATAAATTTTAATAACGCCAAAATTATAATGAAAGAAGCGATAGCCTCTAAAAGAAAAATAAAAGAGGCTTTTTTAATACAATCGAATAAAAAATAAATGTATTGCTCATGCATCTGTAGATGATAGTAATGTATGACAATCGCTTTTTTGATTTTAAAGAACATAACGTAAAAATAAACATAACATAAGTAAAAATTAAAAATAATCATACAGAAAGTTTGGGCTTTTTGGTTTTACATTATTAAGTAATTGTTATCAGGTAGTAATTGTGTGTTAATTTTGAAGTTTAACTTGTTATAATGCATAGACAAACAAATAAAAAGAGACTGGCAAATTAAAGGGCAAAGAGAGGGACAACGTTCCCGTAGCGCAACTCAGAACGCAACATTTCGTTCTATTTATGTTGATCTGCGCATTGCGTCTATTGGGCCCACTATCTCATTCTAATATAACAAGAGAGAAAGAAGCAACCATATAAAACGTAATTTCTAAATAGAAATTAGAACAGTCGCCTTTCGTTTACGTCATCATGACAACCAAGATGACAACATCATGACAATTCGTCATGTTTGTTAATTTTTCTTTTGGTGATTTACCTTTTTTTCTAAACTCTCCATTTTAATGACTTATGAATATGGATGACTATGGATAGGGAACAAATTCCTTTATTCTATATAGGTATTTATATTTTGTTAGTTATAATTTTCGGTTATACTGTTTGTTATTTTATTTGCTGCAGGAGCCAGTATCATCTATTTTTTGTATGTATTGGTGCCCCTTTTCTCTGATAGATATGTTAAAGACACCCGGTAAAATAAAAGTAAGTAGTTATATTTATCATCTTATTAAGAAAAAAGTAGAAGTCCCCTCTCTTAACATAACAAATTAATACAATTAATTTTTTTCATTTTTTGGGTAGGTAGTTTATAGCTGGTTTATAGTAACCAGAAACTTTATTAATATACCTATTTTACTTTTGTTTTAGGATTAAAACTGGACTTGAAAATGGTTCAGGATCATGATTCTCGTAAAGTCTTCTTTGCTTGGATATTCACTTTGTTATTGCAATTAGGCAGTTTTTTCGAAAATGAGATTTTTAATGCCCTTAAAAAAAAAAAAATTGGCCGATCGTTTCCTGAAACAGTCAGTTCTTCTGCATTTAAAATTGGTAGGTGGGTGGCATAAACACTGTTTTTTTTGTTATTATATTATAAAAGTTTATTTATTTTTATGTATAAATAGATATGTTTATAAAACAGTACAATTTTTGCTTTTTTTATAATTTCCCTTATAATAGTAGTATTCTTTCATTCTGAAAGAAACTGAAAATTTTCACTTAAACTGATTTATTCCCTACACCACGTTCCCTTTACGTGGTATCGGGAATAAATCAGTTTAAGTGAAAATTTTCAGTTTCAGAATGAAAGAATACTACTAATAATGGCTAATTTAAATTTTCCGCCAGCCAGAATGTGCGATAATGTCTTACCATACGTTTTATACCTATCTCTCTCTCTCTCTCTCTCTCTCTTTTTCATATAAAGCATACATAATAAAGAAAGATAGCAATAAAGACGTACGTCCTGCTATGATCCTGCTAATTGGTTTCAAAATTGTTATTCTGAGTTGCGCTACGGGAACGCGGTCCCACTCTTTACCATGAGATTTGTCAGTCTTTTTTTATTTGTTCGTCTATGCAAATAGTTCAATTTAAATATTTTAAATAGTTTTTTTTCTTTATTTGTATTTTTTTGCTTACGACGACGGAAAGAGATAAACTTTCCGAAACGTTAAGCATTTTTTTCTTTGCTAGGCAAATTTTTATTACTGTAAAAACTTCTGTCACGCAGTGTCCGTTTAGGTTTAACCCAGAAGTGTTTACAAAAAATAACTATTTTATTTTGTAGATTTTTCTTTGCAGTGCAGTGGCGAAATACCCATAAAGGATTTTTTTTTGGAGAGATCATTCCTTAATCTTTTTATTCAAAGGTGCTGACGGTACTTACCTGTTATTCTAACAGCAGGTTGGTCTAGGTGATAGAAAACTTCACTTTCCATCAGCCTAGCCAAAATTTCAGCTCCTATACCGCACGACGGCCAACCCTGTTCCACTGAGATCAAGTGATTCGTTTTGACGACCGATTTTATAATGGTTTCAAAGTCTAGAGGCCTCAAAGATCTGTAAAAGTCGATAATTTTCTTGATGAAAAATAATTTTTAACGATTTTTAAGTATTTTTTACCTTAAATTGATTACTTCAGCTTCGATACCTTTACCTGCCAAGGTTTTTGCAGCTTCTAACGACGTCTCGACAGCCTTAGAATGTGCTACGATAGTTACGTGTTTACCTGTGTCACAAAAAATAACATTAGAAGAATTACAAATTATACTTCTTCAAAATTACCAATACGCTTTTAGAATCTCTAAAATATCGCGTTGTCTATTTAAATATATATTTTTTGTCAAGAACTGGTGACATTTGACAGTGTATGTCATTTTTGCTAATAAGTCTTTAAACTTGACTAAAAATCCTATATTTTAGTTTTTAAAAGAGTGTTATAGCTCAAAAAATTAAAGCTAGGTAGCTGATTGTGTTATAATTAAAAAGTAGTTCAAAAGAACCATTCCTGTCTTACCTGGTCTTTCGACTTTCGCTTTGCCAATGGGTAACAAGTAATCCGTTCCTAGCGCCTCATCAGACATTGGGTAGGCAACACCGTACAATAATTCGTTTTCTAGAAAGACCACAGGATCTGGGTCCCTAATAGCTGCCTTGAGAAGACCTTTGTGGTCTTCGGATGTGTAGGGGGAGATTACCTGTTGAAAATATCTTTGAATTACGAATATACAGGGTGTCTCAATATGTCTGTTCTAATAAAATACTTTATTTTGCATAGTAAATTTGAAGATTTTTGTCTTGTTTCGCAAATCTAAAGGCGCATTCTCACGACTTCATTCTCACAAGTTGGTCTCCGTTGGGTTAACGCAGCAGTGTTCAGAAAAAATAATTATTTTATTTTGTAGATTTTTTTAGAGTGGTGGCGAAATAACCATAGGACTTTTTTGAAGAAATATATTTCATCATTTCATCCCATTTTATTTGAAAAAATTGGCGCCGGGAGGCACGTATAGCCGCCCATACTAAAATATGTTAATAAAAAGTTGGTAGGCAGTTCTTTTAGTTTCAAAGTAAAGGAATTTTTCCAATTTTGGTCGGCGGTTATTTCCCCTATCCGCCACCTGGGGTCGCGTCCCAGGGTCGGGAGTTTGGAGTTCTCGACACGGATTTTCTCAAAAACGGACTACGGAAACACGGAATATCTCAAAAACTACGACTTTGACTGATTTTGATGTTATTACAAATTTTGTTGCAAATAATATTCATAATTTTAAATTAAAAACCGCGTTTCGCTAGCTACTGTAATTTTGGAGTTACGATTTTTTAAAATTTTTAACCCCCTCCCATAACCAACCCCTCACCCCCACCCCCACCAAAAACTATTGGCCAGATTCTCGGGTGCCACAGTATTTTTGTTACAAATTTGGTTAAAATCGGTTTAGCGATTTTTGAGTTATCGTGTTATTGAAACAAGGATAGAACTCTTGGTTTAACAGGATACCCTTAAAAAATTAGAGTATTTTATTAAAACAGAGAATACTGAGACGATACACATTGTAAAAGTTTTAGAAAAGTGATCTTACTTTGAGACCAGGACAGTGAGCATACCACGCGCCATAACACTGAGAGTGCTGAGCTGCCACACCTGCTGCAGCTCCATTAGGGCCCCTTTTTTATTAAAAAGCATAATTAATAGTTTTAAAATCGCGATTTTTTAAATTTTTACCTACCGGAATACAATAGGAACGTTTACTCTACCGGCAGACATGTAAAAAGTTTTTGCCGCCGAATTGATGATTTGATCTATGGCTTGCATGGCGAAATTGAAGGTCATGAACTCGCAGATGGGGCGGAGGCCTGCCATAGCCGCCCCCGTGGCGATACCTATATAAAACAATAATATTTACTACAAAATGTTTGTAGGAATTTCCTTTATATTTTTCTTTGTTCAAGTCTTGTGTTCAATCAAGTATAAAGATGATAAGGAAGGTCGTGACCATATCGTAACTTTAAAGCCAATATAATTAATAATACATCCATACTTTTAATGAAAGGAAAACAAGATTATGGTGTTTAAAATAGCCAGAAAAACAAGTTATTTTTTAAAAAAGACATCTTAAAGATAATGTCAATGCATATACATTTAATTAAATATTTTAATTGTTATTTCCTTAAAAATACAGAGTCGCTGACATGTATGGGAAGAGTCGATTATTAGGTAAAATATACGAGGTACCACAAAAAGTTAAATATAAAAGTTATAGGGTTTTTGAATGTCTATTAGCGAGTAATAAATTTAAGTATAGCGGGTCGGTGTCATAAAGTCGTGGCACATAAAAGTTTAATTTTGTTAATTGTATATTATTGCATTTTTCGGTTCTTCCTTCAATTCTAAGCAAAAATCGAAATACACACAATGTACCTTCACAAGTAATATCACTTAAACAATTTGATTTCATTAACTTCGTAAACTGTGGTACTTAATAATATTTGACATTAATTCTCAAGTTATTAGCATTGATAGATGTATAAAATGAGAGTATATCAAGTCTGGAAATTACAAAATTTTCGTTTAACATTTTAATTCTTCAATTTATGTATATTGTGTATTACAATTATTGCTTAAAACTGAAGGATGAATTGAAATATGCATTTAAAAAAAATAAATATGCCACAACTTTATGACCGACCCTGTATACTTAAATTTACTACTAGCTACTAGACATTTAAAAACCCTATAACTTATGTACTTAACTTTTTGCGGTACCTTGTATATTTTACCTAATAATCGACCGTTCCCATACATATCAGCTAGCCTGTATGTTGATAAAAAAAATGATAATATACAAAAACAATCTTGTTTTTTAAAGACATTCCTAGATTAATACATTTTGCAGATAAATACACGTGTTGTCTACATTTTTAATATGTATTTACAATTATTTTTCATATTTTATTAATACGCCAGAAATACTTTAATTAATTTGTGGGATTTTAATTCTAAATTCTATTTTTAATGAAATGAAAACAAAATTATTGAGTTTAAATTAGCCAGAAAAACAACTTATTTTTTAAAAGCCATCTTAAGAAGATATGTCAATATAATTAAATATATAAAAACAGTATGATTTTTTTAAGACATACACTAGATTAATAGGTACATTTTGTAGATAAAATATACCTACCTGTTATCTAGATTTTTAAAATGTATTTAAAATTATGTTTCATGTTTTATTAATAAGCGAGAAATAATTTAATTAATCTATAAGATTTAATTTTTTAGTTCTAAATTATTAATCCACAAATAAATATTGATATATTATTAGACTAAAGTTTTTTCAAGAAATATAACAGAAAAATAAAATCAAATGAAGTATTCTGGATCATTTGTGTGTTTATATTATCTCTTACATAATGGATGACAAAAATAATAGCAAATCCCAGCATTTTAAAAGATAATATTCCTATCTTCTCTAAATTTACTCCTACATCGTAATGATCATTAGTTATATAGAAAATAACAGAAATTATCTCAATAATTATTTGACATTCAAACTTTTTTCCAATGCAAGGAAATCAGTCTAAAAACTTTTTAAATAACCTTCACAAACTATAGTAAAATACTTTAACCTTAGTAATTATTTTGTTTATAGATTATTTTTTGGAAAAATGGCTTTAATAAAATAAGATCTTTACCTGTAAAGCCCATTTCAGTTATAGGGGTATCAATAACTCTTTTGTCTCCGTATTTCTTCCACAGTCCTCTTGTAACTTTGTAAGCCCCATCGTACTGAGCTACTTCTTCACCCATAACAAAAACTCTTTCGTCCCTTTCCATTTCTTCATCGATAGCTGAGTTCAGGGCATCTCTAGAAGATAATTGATTCTTTTAGCATCCACAATGAATAAATTACTGTTAATTGTGTTAAAATATCTACCTTACTGTAAGCTGTTTGGCTCCCAAAGCCTTTGAAGTGGAGAAGTTTCTTCTGCTCAGTACTTTACCTAATGTGGTCATGTTCTTCATGGTTATTGTGCCCCTCGAAGCCATACTATATGGGGTTTTGAAAGACTAGGAAAGTTGTACCTTATCTTGGCTGTTCCAGGCTACTGTAGCTTACTTTTTTCAAGGTGACTGAGGTCGAAGGCGTGTTAGAAGTGCTGTTTATCGGTAGAAAGGCTTCAGAACCGCAGCAAGTCGAATACGTAACCGGGCATGTGACGTTATCTCAAACTTCATGCGTCAATCGAGAATTTCCTCGTCTTCTATGTTTCAATTTCAAAATTTATGAATAAAGTTAGGTTAAGTAAGACTTATTGGTGAAAATTCGTGTCCTGATTTAGTTCTTTAACATAACATTATTACTATGTAAGACATACTTTGCAGTAGCGGCCAATTTCTAAATTTTTAATTAAAGAAAAACTAAAAAATATATTCTAAATTTAAATTTCCAACACCCTGTATATGACAACCGCAGTCGCCCTCTGGTGGAATTTGCTTGAACTACGCTTAGTTCACAATTTTTTCAATAGGTAGAGCCACAGGAACATGTAGTTCGGCACTTGCTCAAGAGATGGCGCCGAGCATTCCCTAGTTCAAGAAAATATTGAGAGATGTCGCTACACTTAACTTATAACTTAGCTATTTTGTAACAGATGGCGCCACTAATCCCATATTAATTTTGCTAGAACGTAATAGATGGCGCCACTAGTAATATTGAACACCGCCATCTATTGAAAAATTTATGTATTAATTAGCAATTAAAAAACCTGTAGCGACATCTGTTGGTGAAAATAGCAACTTTTTTCTTCTATGTTTTATAAATATCACAGAGGAAAAAAATAAACACCATGAAGTTTTATCAAGATATTGTTTATTTATTTGACAAGAGATTCAAGAGTTTTTTATAATCCATGTTTATTTTGGTTTGCAAAAAAAACCTATCAACTAAATTTGTTTAGGGTTGCATGCAACCAGTAATACAAAAATGTTAAAATCATACTTCCGAAGGAGCCACTTTTCTCTGTTCTAAAGCTTCATATTTTTATGCGAAATTACAAGTATTTCTTTTTTTAAGTAAATCTTTTTTTTAGTCGACAATTTTTACAAGAATTATTTTAAGTAATGGATTGTATATGGATTGTCAAGATTTTCATTTGTTTTTTACGTCGGTGTTGCCAAGACATTATTCAAGTCATGAAAACTAATCTAGTTCAATATATTTGTAAGTATATAACGAATAAAACCGTTATAAAATCATGGTAAATCTAATAAAATATAATATAAACATTGTTTCAATGCAATAAAATTTATAATAATTTTTTAGCATTATCCTGGCATTATATACAGCAAAAAATGATCAATCTGACAACGTTGACAGTGCGCCATTTTCCGTTGTTAGCAGCTTGAAGTTATGTCGTTCTCAAAAATTTTCTGATTTTTAAGAGAAAAAATGATTTTTCTGTAGAGGATTTGAGTGCATTCTGTTCTTTACGGCCTGTTTCACTCCGTGAAAATGTAAGTACCAATTATTTTGCCTGTTTTCTGTAGTTTTTTTAAGTACTTCAATTACATCATACAAAAGCTGACAAATTTTTCCTATTTTCATAATTTTCTTTTTCAAAATCGAGTGCATGGATATATAAATACATTCCTTGATGTCTCTATTGTACATTAAAAATAAAGTTACTTAGAAAAATGCTCCATATTTAGAAATATTTGGTATTTTTTGGACCATGTTTTTTTTGGTAGTGTTTAAAGATGTTTTTATTCCTAAAGTTTTTTTTTAGTTGTTTATTCGTACAGACAAATGATTTTCTACGTCTTTCAGAATAAGTCAGTGTTAGTATACCTAAAGAGGGCCTCATTCTCAATAATTACATAATAATTTTAGATAAAATTCTTTTACGCTCAGTGTTTAATGCCATACTTTGTCGTCATATTTAAGTTAGTAGTTTTGCATTGTTAATATAAAGCTTTATTAATTATAATTTTATTTTTAGGAGCTTTATTAATAATACACACGAGCACATAAAGACCACCTAAAAGAACAGACCTGGATCACCTTTTGTATTTTCCTGATGTTTGGCCAACATTCTGGTTTACAAGTTGGTCTTCCATAATCTGATTAAAAGTAAGTTTAATTTATTTTTTCAAAATAATTTTAATAAACTTATTAAATTTTTATTAACAGACTAACCATATTTTTTATGATATGTTTAATCTTATATGAAACAAAAAAAAATAAACACAATTATTATAGCATAATTATTAATGAAATATAATATTATTTATTTCTTTTTTTACAGATTTTGTACAACAAATCGATGGACATATACAGCTCCAAGGCAGTACATTTATCCTTTTCACGAATATTACCAACAATGCATCGGAACTAATAAGTATGTCTAAAATATGTCTTTTGGGTAAATATACTTATACTGGCTTTTAATGTTCTTCAGTGGATTTCATGATTTCCTAAATTTAATTAAGTAGAAAAAATTCTATTGAGTGTCCGAGTTAAATTTTCTTTCTTTATTATCATAGAAAAAATTCAGATCATCTATTTTAGTTTGGTCAATTTTGGCTTTTTTTTCATTTTTTCTTTTTTAATATAATATCATTGACTTTGAACTTTACTTGATGTACATCAAATATAGTTTTTTATTTTTGTGATTGTTGTTTTTGATTTCACTCCATTCTCTATAATAGCTGCTGGCCTATATTTTTTGATTGTAGAATTTTTTCTATAATAGCTTGACTCCTATAAGTTTTCTTCGTTGTGGGTATAATAACATATATTGTACAATTTTTTAATTTTTATGGATTCATTTTCATGTCATTTTTCTCAGACCATATGCCACGAATTTCTGTAATTTTATCAATTCTGTTGGTTTGGTTTCCCTATGTTAAATATAATTTAAACACACTTAAAAATTTGAGGACTAATTTCTGAGCAATTCCTGGCGCTTTCGCCATATATTTAAAAACCTGACTAGTCCACAGGATATCACTTCTACCTTTCCCAGCATTTTTCCAATTAATTTTCCCGAGTAACATCGACTCCAGAGCATCATAACTAGCCTCCCCAAAGAGGAGGAGACCCGGGTCACCCCCTAACCCGGTTGTTCGGGCATCGATGACCCATGTAGCATGCATAGGTACCCAAAGGGAGTCACCACTCTGGTTTTACGAGCTAGGTGTTCTAACGCTAGAGGCTTCGGCCGGATACGACCTGGCACCCAAGCTCCGAGACTTCTTCGTGCACGTATTCCGTGACCCTCGAAGAGGCAGGGGGCGGGATATCGGACACATTTGAAGATGATGAGGGGGGTCCGCCTGTAGGGTGAGGTCCCGGTGGATGTCCGCTCCGAAGGGTGACGAGGTGACCCGAGACGAAGCTGCTTAGCTGGGATGGGAACTGACTGGTGAGGCTTAATCGTCGGCCAAGGGTTAAATCTGATGAAGGGGGGCGAACTTATATGCTCTGGAGGATTTTTTTCTTTATGTGCTTCAGTCATATTTTGAATAGATATTTGTTAGAAGTGGCTAAGCATATCTTTTTGTCAATTTTTCTGTTCTTATGGACCACATATACTTCTTCATATTTTTTTAATATCACCTAATACATCTTGCTTTAGGCCTACCTCTCTTTATTTTTGTCTGCCATACTTCTTTTATTATTTGGATATAATTCATTTATTCTATATATACCTTTCCAATGAGTGTCTTAAATATTTGTATATTTTTTTGTGTTTTATTCATTTTCATGCCATTTTTTTCCTAATTTATATCCCTGGCTTTTATGCCATTTTTTTTTTCAACTTATATCTCACTATTTGTGTCTCCCATAATTTCTTCATTATGGGATTGCCAAAGTTTTTTTTATATATTTGTATACATTTTTGTGTCTCATTCTTCTGATACTCTTCTAAGGCATCATATTATTTCGTGACTTCTATGACCTGTATAGAATTATAGTTTTTCTATTCATTTTCATGCCAGTTTTTCAGCAGTACATCATATCTCTGTTTCATTGTTTGTCTCCCCATATTTTCTTCCTTATAAGAATGTCATACATCAATTCTATAAACTCTTCCATTGATTGTATTTGTAAAAGCCTTCCTTGTATAATTTTTGTGTTATTTTTCTGAGACTTTTCTAAGTTCATTTCTCATTTTTATGCAGTTTTAGTTATCTGATGTATTTTTCTTTCTATTGTCTTCATTCTGGAGGGGTGCAAAGCTAGTTCGCCTCCTCGTGGTGCACCCTGGATAACGCCAAATGAACTAGCAAATACTGACAGTCACAATCTTAGGATCTCCTGACCATAAAACACATTTCACAAAGTTTCAATTTTCTTTAAGAGATATGATGCTATCAAACAAGGCTAAGAATCTTTCTCTTTATTATTTTTCTTCTATATTGATTGTATTTCTAAATCTCTTCTTTTATGTGTACTATTGTTTATTTTACCCCCATTCTTCTAAGATTTCCAAGACTTTGATTTCATTTCTACTGATGCCTACATGGAATTGTTTATTTCTGGATTCATTTTCTAATTAATTTTCTTTTAATTCCTTTTCTAATTCCCTTTAAAATTGAGTTTGTGAATGGGATATTTTACTGCTTTGGAACTGGATGGAATAAGGATGAAATTCATCACTGAAGAGGAACTAAATAATTTTAGGTAAATATTATTCTAAATTTTTTTTTTATAATCAAATATATTAAACATCTAATAATTTTGATTTGTTTTAAGATATTTTGATATAAATTATGATGAAATGTAATAGTATTTACTTTTTTGTTACAGATTTTGTACAACAAATGTCTACAGTTCCTAGGGCAGTACATTTATCCTTTTCACAAATATTACCAACAATGTATCAGGACTTATAAGTATATCTAAAATTTTAAATCTTTTGGGTAAATATATTTAAACTGGTTTTTAATGTTCTTCAGTGGATTTCATGATTTCTAAATTTAATTAAGTAGGAAAAAAATTCCAATGAGTCTCTGAGTTACATTTTTATGGCTCTTTATTGTCATAGGAAAATTCAGAACATCTGCTTTTAATTTGGACCAATTTTTGGCTTTTGGTCACTCCTTATTCCTTTTGGGAGAAGATCATCTACTTAGAACTTCATGTCATGTTGTTTTTGGTTTACTTTCCTTTCTCTATAATAGCTTTATTTTTTCTTGATTCTATAAAATATTCTATCGATTATATTTCTATAAGTCTTCTTTTACTTGTATTATTTTTCTGATGGTGTAATTTAATATTTTTTGCTTGTGTAATTCCTTGTACAAAATTTCAGTTTTGATGGATTTATTTCCGTGCCATTTTTTCAGATCATATGCCATGAATTTCTGTCATTTTACTTATTCTATTGCTTTAGTTTGTGTGTGTTTAAATATAATTTAAACACACTTAAAAATTTGAGGACTAATTTCTGAGCAATTCCTGGCGCATTCGCCATTTATTTAAAAACCTGACTAGCCCACAGGATATCACTTCTACCTTTCCCAGCATTTTTCCAATTAATTTTCCCGAGTAACATCGACTCCAGAGCATCATAACTAGCCTCTCTTAAGAGGAGGAGACCCGGGTCACCCCCTAACCTGGTTGTTCGGGCATCGATGACCTATGTAGCATGCATAGGTACCCAAGGGAGTCACCACCCTCTGGTTTACGAGCTAGGTGTTCTAACGCTAGAGGCTTCGGCCGGATACGACCTGGCACCCAAGCTACGAGACTTCTTCGTGCACGTATCCCGTGACGTCTCGACAGTAGAGGGGGCGGGATATCGGACACATTGAAGATGATGAGGGGGGTCCGCCTGTAGGGGGTCCCGGTGGATGTCCGCTCGATGGGTGACGAGGGTGACCTGAGACGAGGCTGCTTAGCTGGGATGGGAACTGACTGGTGAGGCTTAATCGTCGGCCAAGGGTTAAATCTGATGAAGGGGGGCGAAATTATATGCTCTGGAGGATTTTTCTTTTTGTGCTTGTGTCTTATTTTGACTAGAAATTCCTGAGAGGAGGCTAAGCATAACTTTTTGTCAATTTTCCAGTTCTTATTGACCACATACCTCTTTATTTTTGTTAATATCATCTAAAACTCTTTGTCCCATCTTGCTTTTGGCCTACCTCTATTTCACTATTTTTGTCTGCCATATTTTCTTTATTGGAATATTATCATTCATGAATTCTATAAACTCTCCCAATGATTGTTATATATATAATTCTATATTATTTTTGTCATTCTTGTGAGACGTTTCTACGATATATTTTATCAATTCTAGTGCCTGAATAGAATGTACCCCCTATTTTTTAATAATTTCATGTCATTTTCCAATCCATAATATCTCTATTTCACCAAATCATCAAATATCGTCACCATCATATAGGCATATAATTACCAACAATGTATCAGGATTTGCCTGTATAGAATTACAGCTTATTTTTTTATAGCTGCTATTCTGAGACTTCAAACTCTTTGATTTGATTTCTGTATTGTTCTGGATTCATTTTCTAATTGCTTTTTATTCCATTTCTAAGTCCGTTTAAAACTGATTTTTTAAATGGCATATTGTTATATTGTACTGCTTTGGAAACTTTGGAACAAGGACTTTTTAGAACTGCTGCACTTCAATGCAGCCACCCTCTTCAAGATGCCATTAGGTCGATTAAATTCAACATTCAACAGTGGAGTGGGTATGGAATTCATCATTGAAGAAGATGCTTATTAATTTTAGGTAAACTATAATAAAAAATGTATTTTTTAAATTGAATTTGTTTAATAAATAGGTAATATCGTATTTTATAAGTAAAACATATAGATATTAAATATGTAGATGTATAAATGATTGATTTCAAATAAAACGTTTTGGCGCCTATTTTACTTATTGTATAGGCAACTAAAAATACACTTAACGTGTATAATGAGTTGCCTGTATAGAAAGTTTAAATTTTTTAATTTAGTTTTTCAGGCTTTAATATTATAATTAAAATATTTCTTAATTACAAAAACAGCTTAAACACGTTTTTCTTTGTATTAGTTTTAAAAAATGTGCTCTATGTTACCAAGATTCCTATATATCTTATATTATTTTATGTACCCTATCAATTTAGCGAAAATTTAAAGTTATAGAAGTAATAGTTTTTAATCAAGCTTGTTAGTGAACAAATAATTAATTATTTCTTTATATGTTTGTTACAGAACCAAGACTTTCCAGAAGAGTAGCCAGAAGATTTATTTGCCTCAACATAGACACCAGCATGTCCATCAATAACATCTTGGATGTTAAGATACTTTTTATATTACTCTTGTTAATAAAATATAATATGTTAATAAATAATTATTAAAAATAAATGTGTTTAATTTAACCAAAATATACCTCGTAGAAATACTGTCTAATCCTGAACAAAAAGAAAAAGCTTTGGAAAAAGTCATTTAATTATCACAAAATTAATATATTCTAATAATAAACAACTTAACAATTTGTTCAGAAATAAACAGAATTTCATATAAAAATAATACCTAAGATTTACCTCCTCGCTCTTATGCACTCCTGATACAAATCCGAGAAAATTCAGCCTTTAACAAAAATCGAACGAAAATTTTTAATCCTTGTCCAAAATCACCGGTTTCTATCAGGAGCACATAAGTGTGAACAGGTGTAGAGTCAACTGAGTACCAAATTTACCTCCTCGCTCTTATGTACTCCTGATACATATCCGAGAAAATTCAATTTTTGTCAAAGACTGCACGAATATTTTTAAACCGCGTCCAAAATCGTCGATTTCTATCAGGATCGCATAAGCTTGAAGAGGTGAGGAGCAAATTTACTACCACACTTAAATAAAGTATTTTTCAACGACATTTCTGCTATCTCTAACACTTCGAACTCGTTTCCAAACTTCAACGACTAATATCTCGGAAACTATAAGGGCTAGGGAGGAACGGAGGGCGGCTTTCGATAGGGAATTCAACCCTCTATAAGGGCGCAAAACCAGGGCGCGATCGGAAACAAAAAAAAATTTTGGCGAAAAATGAGGTAAGGGGTTAACCTTCCTTCATTTTGGCCCAAAAAATTTTTTTGTCTCCGATCGCGCCCTAATTATGCACCCTTATAGAGGGTTGAAAGGCGAATCGAATGCCGCCCTCCGTTCCTCTCTAGCCCTTATAGTTTAGAAGTTATGGCCGTTTTTCCAATAAAATCTAGCAATTCTAACTCGTTGGTCAGTTGCTCCAAAATTTGCCAGGTCGATATTATTTTTGATCGGTTTTATTAAAAACGGAGAAAAATTGAATTTGTATCAGGAACATATGAGTGCGAGGAGGTATTTTTCGATACCAGGAGTAAGCGGTGCTTTCGCCATTTAGTCAAGATATTTAAATAATGTCAGATAGAGAATAGAATTCTTAAATTTGTATCAGGAGCATATAAGAGCGAGGAGGTATTTTTCGCTACCAGGAGCAGCCAAGAGTAAGTTAATTGTATAAGTCAAATATGTTTTGACAATATTAGGAGGAAAATTTAAAAGATATTTACTAACTATATTTGTTAATCTCGATATTAAATTAAAACACAGTAAATATTTTAAATAATAAAATTTATTATACAAAAAAGTACACATACAATATAAAAATATATTAAAAAACAGATATTGTAGGTGATCCCTGGCGATGGCTAAGCTTCAACTCTGAAAACAAAATAAAACATTAATATTAAATCAGCACGGTAAGTACTGTATGATCGAAAAAAAAACGGCGTCAGCGATGGCTATGAAAATCGCTGTCATTTTATATGTAAAATTATATGGGGAATGTCAACGATGTTCATTTCCAAGCCAACTAGACGCCGTTTTTTTCGATCATACGATATTTCATTATTACTCATACTGAATGTATGATCAAAAAGTTTTATGTTTAAGTGTGCTTTGAGAGTTAAAAATTAAGTACAATATAATCGCAAAAAAAAACGGCGTCAGCGATGGCTATGAAATAAAGATCGCTGTCATTTTATATGTAAAATTATATGGAGAATGTCATTGATCATTATTTCCAAGCCAACTGGACTCCGTCTTTTTTCGATTAGACGGTATTTTTCCCATATCACCATAAAAGCTTTTTGATAACATTGTATGTATACCGAATGATCGAAAAAAAAACGGCGTCCAGTTGGCTGGATATAAATTAGTAAATGACAGCGATCTTCATTTCATAGCCATCGCTGACGCTGTTGTTTTTTTTCGATTATATGGTATCTAGCAATTTGCTCATTCCTAAGCCAACTTGACATCGTTTAGATAATATGGTACTGGAAGATAAAAATTATATTTTCATCTCCAACATTACAAAAAACAATTTTTTTTAACATATATAAGACACTTTCTAATCAATTCTACATACAGGATACCAGAAGATCGAAAAAAAACGCAACATAGTAGCTTTTGTAATGACGATTGATGATAATTATTGTTTACTATAAGTGTGAACCAAGCTGTTTTTACTTGACATACTTTTTGTTTAAAATATAAAAAGTATTTTTAGCAAGTTTATAAGTTAATTTACAATAAATTATATTAGAGGTTGATCAGGAGAAAATTACTTGCAATCAGCATGTCTTCACCTACTTTGATGCTGTTTATTTTCAATCATATGGTATTGTACCTATACATAATAGAATTTATTCGTAACAGATAAATAAAAATTATACATCATAGAAAGTATTATATTGGTTGTTATTGAATTAAATAAAACTAAATTAATTAAAAACACAAACACTTACAGATGCAGACGATGCAGACCGTAGCCGTGCCTTCTATGCCGTTTCTCTTAACTATCTCCAAGATGATTTAAGCGTTAAATATTTTCATTTATACGGTATTTGCATTTAGCAATTTTCCATTATTAACTTATTTTATTGTCTTTAAAATAGTTTTACTCCTTTAAAATGAAAAAGAATAAAATTATTAAAGATTTTTCTTTCAAAATTTGACATTATAAAAAAGGGTTAGAAATTAATTCTTCTTCTTTTCTCTTTTTTTACATTTAAGACACAATTTCTTCTTTAGTAATTTCTTTGGCTTAATTCCTAAACTGTCCATAGATTAAAAAGATCAAAATATATTCGTCCCCACAGAATAAACTTGTTCGTCCCGCTTGGCAGCGCTTGGCGAGGCGGGTGTATTGAGCGTATTGTTGATATTTTTTTAATAATAAGTTTAGAAAGAAAAACGGCAAAAATTGGGTCCTCAAACGAGAAAATGCCCGATGTTATTATTTCCTTAACATCGTCAGATGAAGAGGAAAATATTGAACCGCCCCCGCCTAAGGTATTTAATACTTTTCGTTTTTTAGGGGTTATTTTTTTGTATTTTGCATTTTTAGAAAAGTAAACCCACACTCTTTCTATCCGAATGCACCTTAACTGTAGTTAGTGGTAACAAGAAAAAGAAAAAACCGACAAGCGAGAATATAACTACAGTAACATTAGATTCAGACGATGATGATAGTTTAGGAAAAGGAGTTACCAAAGTTAGTAATGAGACTGAACTAATACCCAGATCGAAGCAGAATGATACGAGCAAGTCTGTGAATAATGTAGATTTAACTATACTTAGTGATGATGAAGATATACCTCCTGCAAATGAATCAACTCTACCATCAAACACAACAGAAAATGGTGAAAATGAAAACAGTAATAATAATGAAACTTTGAAAGTAAGTGATACAGTATCGATTCCTGATAGTGATTCAGAGACAGAAGCTGTAAATGGAACAGAATGCAACAACAAATCTTCTCCAGATTCCAAGAATGAGAGTATAATTGTGAATGACTCTGAGGAGGAAACAGAAAAAGAAAATCCTAGCTTAAATCAAATTACTGAAAAAATAACTGATAGTGTCTCTAATCCAGAGGATGCACAGGAAGCTCCTTTAGATGATACACAGAAAACTCCTCCAGATGATGCACAAGAAACTCCTCCAGATGATGCACAAGAAATTCCTTCAGGTGATGCACAGCAAACTCCTCCAGATGATGCACAAGAAACTCCTTCAGATGATGCACAGGAAACTGCTGTTGATGATACTCAGAAAATTGCTCTTGATGATGGAATCCCAGAAACTCCTCCAGAATCAAGTGATGAAACTGATCCTAAATCCTTATTCAACAAATTTCTCAAATTGGTTGAAGAAAAAATTGCGGACTCACAATATGTTGAAGCTTTACCAAAGAAACTGCCCATTATCAAGAAATATTTTGACAAAAGTAAAGATTATGTTAATGAAAATTCTTTCAAAACCCTTCTAACGGATTCTGTCCAAAGTATAAGTAAAGCCAAAAATTCTAACGGTACCAATTTAGCTATAGTGGCATTTCACAAGATTTGTAAAATCCTGAAAGCGAATATAGCTCAAACGACTATTATAGTCGAGGAGGAGAACTTGCCTAAGGTTAAAATGTTAGAAAGAACAATAGCATTATTGAAGAAGAGGATAAAGAAACTTGAAACTACCGAAGTTAACTTTGAGGAAGATAATAATTCCGCGTATATTCAGCTTGATAGGTAAAAAATAGTATATAATAGTGAATATTTATCAAGCAAACTTAATACTTAATTTTTTAGGTATCAGAATAGGTTAAATAAGGTGTATAAAAAGTATTGTCAGTATATTAAAAGAAATCCATATAGTGGTAGAGCAACACATGATAAAATTACTTTTGTCACATCAAATTACAATGAAATCAACCAGGCAATATCAAAAAAATACAATAATAGTTTACATTTTCCAAACTATTATGAATTAGAACAATTCATAAAGAAAACAGTCACTAAACATAAATTAAATCTGAATGATGATGAAGTAAAGGTAGAAAGTAAGTTTAAGTTCATATAAATTTAATTTTAAAATTAACAAAAGTATTTAATAGGTAGAAAATGTCTCAAAACGTTAGGATCAATCCTTCAGAAAAAACGTAGACAAGATTTGTATGATTCCCATTTAGATTTTATCGAATTTAGTGAAGACCCCGCTACCAAAGATCCTTCTCTAGAAAGTGTTTTAAAAAAGAGTCTTGTAGAGGGTGAACAGAAAATTAAAGAACTCTGCCAAAAGTATGTTCTTAATTGTATTAATTTCTTAACTAATTTTATATAAAATCTTTTTTATAGATATGTCGATATGGCTGAAAGAGGGGAGGACAAAGTTTCAACAGATCAAGGAAGCCACAGCGAATCAGAAGAGAAGAAAAACGAAAAATCGGATCACGAAGATATAAATAAAATTGAAAATTCCACGTAACATTTTTTTTAATATACATTGTCCCTGTATTTAAATTTATTTTATCATTAAATATATATATATCGAAATTGTTATTCTAATATTATTAATATTATACTAAATTTTTTGTAGAGTAAAAGGTAAATATATTATTATTTTCATACCTTGTTTTCAGTCAAGTGTGTTAAACCATTAATTTTTAATTGGAAAAACAAAAAAATTAAGAAAAATTCTTTATAGTCCTTATTTTCAACTCGATGAATAACCACAGATTATTTTTTTTCAAGTCACCTTGATAGCTCTATGGGACAACCATAGATCTAACAAATCCATCTCCAAAGTATTACTAATCTGTACCTATAAGTCACAGATTAGTAAAACCGACCAGAATCATATACTTTTTTTTTCCAGCTAACTTCAGAATAATCCATGTAAACGTCAAAATTTCAAAAAATGAACAATTAAAATTATTTTTAATTAATAAAACACCCCGGAAAAAGTATACTGTATGTGTATATTTAACTGCCAAATATTTCACTGGAACTACCTTAAATGTGATATATCATATTATAACTATTTGTAGACAAGTTTCAGCAATCGTTTAAACACTATATAAAAAAGTAATGTAGGTATCATGTAGAAATAGGTCTTTTTTGATCAATTTGATAATAAAAGAATTGAAACTAGTTGTGTTCTCATATTTTTCAGCATATTACTTACGTAAATAAGTTGCATTTGCTTATTTATTCAATAGAAAGTTAACAGAAAAATATAAAATATATAAGAAACATGTAACAATGAAATTCAATAGTTTAGTTACACATTCAATTGAGTTGATGTTTGATATTTTTTAATTATTCTTATATATATAGTCTCATAGATCAGAGAGTTATGACAAAAAGAGCAATGAAAATGTAAAAAACAACAGGAAACATGTAAAATACTTTAAAAAATTTGAACAATTAATGATGATAAAATAAAGTATGTGCATTGTTTAATAGGATTTTACATTGTTTAAGCAACATATAACTGCTTATTATACCATTCTATAACAATAAATTATCCTATGTTATAATTATTTTTTTATCCTAGGCTCCCAGTTGCTTAAACAATTTTATTTTTAATTTAAATAACAAAGATTTATCACACTAAAATTATCTCTTAAATAATTCGACCACTATCACAACTACAGCGTCAATCACTGTGCTTTAATATTAAAATAAAAATGAAAAATAAATATTTTACATATACATACATATTATCACGATATATACAGATTGTTCAACAAAATATTCATTATAAGTAAACGGTCATTGCAACAACGAAAATCAACTAATCTTAATTTGATGGACAGCAAAATGTATTTTTCGAGACGCACAATAAAGTGAATCTTAACCAGGGATGGATGGCGTACCTTTTTAATATTTTGGAGTAAAATAGAGTAAAAAATCGTGAACACTATATATTAGCATGTCGTTAAAGGAACACCCTGTGTAATAATAAACCAAAGTATTTTTCTACAACTGTCACAAAAAAACTATAACGTAAAAAAGTATTTTTTACACGCAACCTACCATTTTTTACACGTAAAAAAACAGTGTTTTTACATTACTGTTTCATATCCACCCATCCCTGCGATCCCGGACATTTGATATACTATATACATTTTAGTTTTGTATAGATTTATATTATGAGCGATCTGAAGTGTGGCCTATACTTATACTACTTTACTAGAAAGAGATTTTATTTCATTAATACATCTATTAAACGCCTAGTATATCTTTGAAATGAAAGATGTACAGTGTGTTAGAGATGATACACCCTGTACACAATGAACAAAAAAAAACATTAAAAAAATATTCCATATAATTAAAAAAAATATGTTAAGTACACGTATAAAGCGATTTAAAGTTAATATTTGTTTTATATAAATTATGTTTTTTTAGAGAAATAAATACTTGTCATGTTTTGTCTTGGTCATGGCTCTAAAAGTTGACAATAAAGTTTTAAAATTTGTCAAGGAGTTTTTTCGAAACCCCTGTATATTTATGTTTTTTCAGGAAAGAAAGACTTCTCTAATGTAAAAATAACAAACATTAATTTAAAAATCTCTTGATACATGACATAACCCCTAAAACTCTTATATTTCCTACGAAAGTGTTCAAAATTGACTAAACTTTTTTTGATATATATTTATAGTCTCTCATATACTCCTCCATTTTGAAAAAAAAACTGTCTTTTAAACCAATCAGATTCCGCCAGCAGAACAATACAAGGGAAAAAATATCTATGTTCTATTGGTGGATGAAATAGTAGGAGGACTTAACGCTTATTATTATTATTATTTAAGTGTTCAGCTAGTGCTCATAGTGCTCAGTCAGTCGCCCGCGTCCAACCATTTCCCCTCTTCTATGATCCGTTCGAAACAGTCCACCAAATAAAAGTACTATAACAGAAAAAAAATAGAGACCTAGTACTTATAATAAAAGTCGAAAAGACACTGGCGGATACGTCATCAAAATTGACAGGCTTTATGTCACAGAATACCATAGTTATTGGCTATACAGACGCGACAGTAAGCGTCGGCTTCTTTGAAGTATTTGTCACCAATGTTTTGACCTTTAAGCAGTGTTGCCAAAAATTTTGGAGAAAAATTCTTAATACTGAAGGAAATCCTTTCATTCTGGCAACACTGCCTTCAAGTCACATTTTGCAAATTAAACTCATTTGTATACAGAAAAATTTCTAGGATTTTAAAAGAAACTTTTAAATACACCAAGAAGTAATTTTTCTTTATATGGCTCATATTTTTTTCGTGACGGTTTTTTAGTATATTAGTAAATACAAATCATAAACAATACAATTTAAAAAAAAATTAGGGAAAACTTAAGCGTCTAAAGTTTTTTACGGCCAAGCTACATCGAAATATCTTGAACTCACTTAAAATTTAGTTTGTAGTAGTACACCAAAAAAAAAATGCCCGTGTCGCTTCTGTATGGTTAGCTGATTTTGTGCATATATGAACTGTTTTTTAACACGCTATGATGACGTAAACGCAACTCAGTCCGAACATTCTCTTATAAAGTTTCAATTTTTTGGCGTCCTGATATATGTATTTCTATAAATATACAAATAAAAAAAAATACTTACATAAGGTGTGAAGATCTTGAGCCATCGAGGTGTCTTGTCCTGTCTGTTATATTTCAAACAGAACGCCATACCCTCTTCATCTACTTCCCACTGTCTTATCGTGTCCCATTCCAGTACTACCACCTGACTTTCTAGCGTACCGTCTTCTTGACACGCGTGCAATTTTATACCGCTGGTACCTAAAATACAGAAGAAAAAATTCGAAAAAAAAATGAATTATAAAAAAAAGGTGTCATAGTAGCCTTGGACAATCTATGATAATTTCTATCGGGTCGACCTCTGTATATGACATTTCTTAAAGAACTGAAATAAATATTGAAAACATTCTTAAAGAACTGACATTTTAATATTTTTAAGGTGAGAATATTAGAAAAGGATATATTATGTTTGTTCCAACCGGACGAGAGAACCGTCCTAGAACGGTAATTTCCTATCAGTCAATTCATTTGTTAATCTTGACAAACGATCAAACTTTTCAAACAATAAGTGGGCGACTAGAATACTACAGGCCAATTAATGACGTCATAAGTAATAAAACTTGATAAACAACTCTAAATTTGTTTTTTTAATAAATGTTCTAACTCAAAAAATAAAAAAGTTATAGAAAGTTAAAAAATGCATATAACCTCAAAAAACACTAACACTCACCTATAGACAACACAACGTGCCCCTCCTTCCTAGAATCGCATGCGCAATGAGGAAACATCACCTCCCCATACCCAGGCAACTCCCTAGCTAGTTTCAAGTACTCCACAGCCCTAGTGTTGTCCTGTAGCGCTTTCAATTGGTACAGCCTCTCGCCGGCGTTGATGTACCCTCTGTTGACGTCATCCACAGCCTGCCAGAAAACGTATGACGTGGCCTGTCATTTTGAAAAAAAAACTGTCTTTTAAACCAATCAGATTCCGCCAGCAGAACAATACAAGGGAAAAAATATCTATGTTCTATTGGTGGATGAAATAGTAGGAGGACTTAACGCTTATTATTATTATTATTTAAGTGTTCAGCTAGTGCTCATAGTGCTCAGTCAGTCGCCCGCGTCCAACCATTTCCCCTCTTCTATGATCCGTTCGAAACAGTCCACCAAATAAAAGTACTATAACAGAAAAAAAATAGAGACCTAGTACCGTATGATCGAGAAAAAACGGCGTCAGCGATGGCTATGGAATGAAGATCGCTGTCATTTTATATGTAAATTTATATGGGAAATGTCATTGATGTTCATTTCCCAGCCAACTGGACGCCGTTTTTTTTCGATCATACGGTACTTATAATAAAAGTCGAAAAGACACTGGCGGATACGTCATCAAAATTGACAGGCTTTATGTCACAGAATACCATAGCTATTGGCTATACAGACGCGACAGTAAGCGTCGGCTTCTTTGATGTATGTGTCGCTAACTTTTTGACCTTCAAGCAGTGTTGCCAAAAATTTTAGAGCGAATTTCTTCAACGGAGAAAAATCCTTAATATTGAAGGAAATCCTTTAATTCTGGCAACACTGGTTTCAAGTCACATTTTGCAAACTAAACTCATTTGTATTCTGAAAAAAATTTCTAGGATTTTAAAGGAAATTTTTAAATACACCAAGAAGTAATTTTTCTTTATATGGCTCATATTTTTTTCGTGACGGTTTTTTAGTATATTAGTAAATACAAATCATAAACAATATAATTTAAAAAAAAATTAGGGAAAACTTAAGCGTCTAAAGTTTTTTACGGCCAAGCTACATCGAATAATAAAAAAATACTTACATAAGGTGTGAAGATCTTGAGCCATCGAGGTGTCTTGTCCTGTCTGTTATATTTCAAACAGAACGCCATACCCTCTTCATCTACTTCCCACTGTCTTATCGTGTCCCATTCCAGTACTACCACCTGACTCTCTAGCGTACCGTCTTCTTGACACGCGTGCAATTTTATACCGCTGGTACCTAAAATACAGAAGAAAAAATTCGAAAAAAATCATTTTTTGAAAAAAAAAAAAAATGAATTATAAAAAAAAAGGTGTCATAGTAGCCTTGGACTCAACAATCTATGATAATTTCTATTTGGTCGACCTATGTATATGACATTTCTTAGAGAACTGACATAAATATTGGTTAAAAAATACTTTAGAGAAGTAAGTAAAAAGTTCCATTTCAGTACTACCACCTGACTTTCTAGCTTATCGTCTTCTTGACACGCGTGCAATTTTATACCGCTAGTACCTAGATATAGAAGGAGCAATTCAAAGATAACAGTTTTTTTTTAAATACTGTATAATCAAGAAAAAAAAGTGTCATAGTAGCCTTTGACACGACGATAAATTATAATTTCTGTCGGGTATCCTCTGTATATGACATTTCTTAAAGAATTTACACATAAATATTGGTCAAAAATTAATTTAGACAAAAGTAAAATGATAATTTAAAAATAATTTTTAATGTATGAGTATATGTACCGAGTTTATCTATTACTTACTGAGTTTGCTTCTCTGGCTTTCTTGTTATTTGTTATTGTTATGTTAATTCTTGTTTATTTATAATTGGATTTATGCAACATTTATAAAACCGGAGAGACATTGTGTCAGGATTTGAAATATGGTGAGATTATTGTAAATCTTACACAATAAAAATAAAAATAAAAAAGTACCGTATGATCGAAAAAAAACGGCATCGAAGACGGCCGGAAAATGACAATCGATGATAATTTTGGCGAGGTCAATCTCTCTTTACTAAAAGTTGACATAAAACTTGTCAAATATAAACACTAATTATAGAAAGATTAAAAAAGGATATAGAACGTTTATTATAGAACAAATTTATTTCGTAAAAACCAAAGCTAACCAACTCAAAAATTAAAAAAAAATTATAGTCAGTTAAAAGTTGAAACAAAAAAAATTAAAACACGGTACATAACCTCAAAAACACTCACCTATCGACAACACAACGTGCCCCTCCTTCCTAGAGTCGCATGCGCAATGAGGAAACACTACCTCCCCATACCCAGGCAACTCCCTAGCTAGTTTCAAGTACTCCACAGCCCTAGTGTTGTCCTGTAGCGCTTTCAATTGGTACAGCCTCTCGCCGGCGTTGATGTACCCTCTGTTGACGTCATCCACAGCCTGCCAGAAAACGTATGACGTGGCCTGGGAGTCCGACATCAGGCTGAGCTCTTTCTGAATGGAGAACAGCCATTTCCTTATGGACAGACATGTGCTGGTGGCCGTGCTGTAGTTCTGGATGTAGAGGTTATGTGGGTATTCCGACGGTTGGAGTTTCCTTTCTAATGAATGTACAGAGAAATCAATAAAAGTCTGCCCGAATGTACGAAATTTAATTTCTAATAAATAAAAATTCGTTTGAAACTTAGGGAACACTTTTTTGTTTTGCGTGTTGTTTGTAAACATCAATATAATCAATATATACCGTATGGTCGAATAAAAACGGCGTCAGCGATGGCTATGAAATGAAGATCGCTGTCATATTATTTGTAAAATTATATGGGATATGTCATCGATCGTCATTTCCAAGCCAACTGGACGCCGTTTGTTTTCGATCACTCGAACTTCCAATATTTGCTTGATTTCTGTCACATAAATGACATTGTTTGACAAACAACACCAGAAAAACCAGCCTTCTCGCGCTGGTTAGTTTGGTGACAGTTATAACCGAATTTTTCAGGAACCGTGTTCCGTAATAAGAAAACTGTCAGGAAACCGATAGAAACGGAACATAAAACCATAACCAATGTAAGCAACGGAATACACCCTTACTGATTTTCCCATAGTAAATTTCGCAGTGTAGGTGTAACTTTAGGTTATACAAAATAGGGTGTGGGGTAACCTTTAGGACTTACCGAAATTGTATTCCACGATTTCGAAGAGGTAAAAATACTTGGAGATCTTCCTGCTCATACCGATCTTCTTGATGATGGCTTCATACACTTCGTCCGCGTTGGCGCTCCTTTTTAATGTTACTGTGACGACTTCTCGATCAGGAAGCAAAACCTAGTGATTAAATTATTGTAAACATCGCTAAAAGACGTTATTTTTCTTCTCTTTTGTGTTAGTAACAAAGCAATAAAATAATAAAAAAGTTTACTGATTTTTTTTCCTGCAACAAAAGTTAGATCTCAATAAAACATTTTCATGTATTTTAAATTTTGATATATTTTATTCTAGTGGGCCGATTTTGATGATTTTTTAAGCAATTTATAGCTAAATTATGTGACTTTTTAACCTCTCTTTAAATTAAAAATTGATAGTCCATCTATATAATATACAAGGTAAAAAAATGTTGCCATTTTGGAGAAAGTGAAAGTTGAAACACCCTGTGTAAAAATCGGCCCGCTCGAAAAACATATGGCCACTGCATATTATACACGGTGGTTCGAAATTTATTCAGAAAACTTCGTCAGCGTATTCTGCAGATAAAGATAAGTAAAAAACTTTATATAAATTTATGTCCTATAATGCTTCGTTTTGGAGATACAGGGTGTAGAAGTTTCATTTTTTTAGTTTTGGATATAATTTAGTGTGTAGTAATGAACAGTGCTTTCAATAAAATCAATAAAATGAAAAATATACGAAATAATATACATGTTCTGATTTCATTCGAAAATCAACATCTATGAAACTATGAACTCTTCCCGGACACAAACGGTACATTGTGAGACAGGAAATTGTAGAGAGAAACAAGCCCTATAACATAGGATACAACATTTTAATGAACAGTGGTTTCCATAAAATCAATAAAATGAAAAATATACGAAATAATATACATGTTCTGATTTCTTTCGAAACTCGACATCTATGAAACTATGAACTCTTCCCGGACACAAACGGTACATTGTGAGACAGGAAAATGTAGAGAGAAACAAGCCCTATAACATAGGATACAACATTTTAATGAACAGTGCTTTGAGAAATTTAATTTTGATGTATATATGACTCCTACTTGTAGGGGGCCGCCAACATGTTATTAACTCTTTTGAAGAGTAATAACTTTTCGTCCGTACCTGTATAAAACTAATGAGTGAAAAAATATACATTTTCGTAATTTTTTTACGTAAAAAAGGACTCTTGGTAAAAATCGCTACGAGCAACCGTTCTCAAAGCTATTTAGAAGAAAAATAGGCAATACATGTCATCATTGGAAATATTAAACATTTTGAGTAGATTTACTGAAATAATAAATTTCAAACGTTTGCTCAACAGAAACATTTTTATCTTATTTTTTTCTAGAAAAATTTATGATTAATTTAAAACACACAAAAAAATCCCAAATTTATCACTTCACTCAAGTATCCATGATACAAAGAAAACAAGGTATAATATTGCGCAGGTTGGTCACTACGTCACAGGTGATAAACGGCACTATTGGTCGGCAAGCTCCGCGCGCTAATTTCAAATTGTCAAACTGATGACACATAATAAATGTGTCATAAATTTTTTAAATGTCAAGCTCGATGATTTGACATAACTTTTGGGGTTATGTCCTAATTCTTCCCTATTATAGGTTTTGTTTTTTAGCGGCAATAGAACAATATGGATATTTTTTGTATGGCATATGACGTCACAGGTGGTATGCGTAAACTGAACGAAATTGGAGCCGCTATCGATCAATATATCTAGCCAACAAGCTTATTTTTGTCAATAATGACATGTAATGATCATTTCCATTGCAAATATCTTGAGAACGGTTACCCTTAGGGGTTTTAACCAGGACACCTTTTTTCGTAAAAAAAAAACGAAAATGTATATTTTTTCACTCAGTAGTTTTATACAGGTACGGACGAAAAGTTATTACTCTTCAAAACCTTTGAATAAGAAGACTGAGGAAGGAGCATATCAAATATGGCCGACTTAAATTCCGGTTTATTAGTGTCGTTCTAATTTTATTTAAAAAATGTAAAACTATGATGTAGGGTAGACGTGGGGTAGACTCAATAATTTGTTATTTTATTTTACGTTGTGAATAAATGTTGGTAGTTATTAAAATTGTTATAAAAATATATTATTCTAATAAAAATAGATAAGTTATAATAAGTATTTATTAACACAAACATCCGATACGCTACTGAAGCAGGTAAGTCAAATTAACGTATCTAAATTTTTTGACATCTATCTTTGACAAGTAATAAATAAAAGCTAAAATGCAAGAAAAATATATAATTCAGTTAATTTAAGTGAATTTCATAAATGATCGGTTTACTACACGTATGTATATTATATAGTCACTAGCGAAAAGTTGTTCCATTATTTCACTCAATTTTTGCCGAGATCTACCGCACGCTACACAACCAACTATTTTAGAGTCTTTTTCGATAAATCGCGAAATCACTGTTAATTTAAGTTCTGCCACAATTTCCATCTAGATTTACTACCTTTATACAACTATCAGTAGTAGAATAAATAATAAATACCATAAAATAAGCTCCGTAAAGACTGACAAATCCACAAAATTTCAAATCAAATTCAAATGTGTCAAATGAATTGTCAAACAGAACTGTCAAGGATCTCCACCCTAGAGTGCTTTTTCCGCCCACCATGCATGAATACATGGTAGTAGCATTATGCTCCTTCCTTAGTCTTCTTATTCAAAGTTCAAAACAGATAAAAAATATGTATGTGGCGCCTCCTATAAATAGGAGACATATTGACAACAAAATAGAATTCCTCATATCAAAAAACCACCAATTTTTATCCAAAAATCCACTATAGTTCAGAAATTATTTGGAAAAAACCGAAATAAAAATAAAACTTCTACACCTTGTATCTCCGAAACGAAGCATTTTAGGACATACATTTATACAAACTTTAAAATTTTTTTTTTGAAGTTTCTCGAATACAATTTGGACCACCCTGTAGCCTTCACAAGTAAATTCTCAATAAAGACATTTTTTCTCTTACAAAATTAGATTTTTCGTCAACAAACAGACATATATTCAACTCCAATTGACACCTATTGACCCTGATTTATACGAAAAAGTTTGTTTACCTTCAGATCTACCGGACTGCTGTTGTTTTCGTCATCCTGATCAGTTAGAAATTCCTGCATTATGTCCGATTCCGCTATAACACGCACTGCGCAGACTCTTTCAAGGTACTGCTCTAAACCACGCCTTCTGGTGTCCAATTGTTGCTCGCTGAGCGTGAATGGCCATTTTCCCGGTAGTTTAGGAAAGTTGTAGCCTGTAAAAAGTCGGATCCTTAGACCATAAATTACCTAGACATTTATAGTTATTGTGGGAATCGTGTAGCCAACATAATAGTGTGAAATTACAAATTTATACATTTTTTTTTCTGTAATTTTACATGTTTTGGTTGTAATCTTAGACTATGAACTACCTAGATACCTATAACTATTACTGTGGGCATTCCGTGTCCAACATTACATTAATATACATTTCCAAAAATTTTTTTGGTTTTTTGGTCGTATTTTTAGACTATGAACTACCCAGATACTTTTAGCTATTGTGAGCATCTTGTAGTCAAAATAAACACACAGCCCCAAAATGAAAATTTACATTTTTATGGTATTACGACATGTTTAGGTCGTTGTCTTAGACTATGAGGTACCTAGATACCAAAAGTTATTGCGGGCATACTGTAGCTAACATTATATTAATATACAGTCCCAAAATGCAATTTAGAATTTTTTTTTAAAGATTTTTTTATATTTTGATCGTTTTCTTAGACTATGAGCTACATAGACACCTATATTTAAAAAAGATCTAAAAAATTTTATGCAATAACAATGTACACATTATATGCAATTAGCTAAAAAAAAATATACAAAAATATATATGTATGGTTTGTGGTTTTTTTATTTGTTTTCCTTAAAACCAATAATTTCATTTAGATATCCATTGTAAGGAAATGTTTACATAAAATATAAATCACACGTAATGTATCTGTTAATATTTTTAATATTTTATTTATAAAATACGTATATTTACGTCTAAATACAAATACGCAAAAAAATATAGATTACTCATTATACCATTTAAAAAAATCAGTTTAAATATAATTTGAGATAAATTAAACATCACTCAAGCTAAGAAAATTCTATTAAAAAAATTCCCTTAATTTTAAAAAGTTAAAATCAACATTCCCGCTAATTAAAATAAATAGTGGAGGTATTTTTAAAAAAAACTTTGCGTCGCTGAATAGTATATATAACATAAACAAAAAGTACTTTAAAGAGTATTTTTAGAGGTCTACATTTTTGTAGAATTTACTGTGATTATTTGACGATAAAAAATATTTTTTTAAGTCAAAAAAAAACTATTTAAATTAATTTTATGATATTAAATTGTTCTTATAAATATTATTTATTAATTTTATAAGAAAGTTCAGACATTGTCATTTTCGACCCCGACCCTTTATTTTCAATAAAAACTTATGATCATATGCTTTTTTTGTATTGTTAGACTATGAACTACCTAGATGCCTAGATGCTACCGTGGGTATCCTGTTGCCAACATAAATATACAGTCCCAAAATGAAAAATATATTTTTTAATGATTTTAAGATATGTTTTTGTCGTTTTCTTAAATTATAAACTGCCTAGACACATCTAGCTCTTGTTGGCATCCTGTAGCCAACACAAATATAGTCCCAAAATGCAAATTTAATAAAAAAAAATCTTATGATTTTTACTATTCTTAGACTGTGAACTACCTAGACACATCCAGCTATTGAGTGCATCCTGTAGCCAACATAAATACAATCCCAAAATTCAAATTTAATACGATTTTTTCTTCTGATTTTATGGCAAGTTTTGGTCGTATTCTTAGACTATGAACTGCCTAGACTCATCTAGCTTGTGTGAATCCTGTAGCCAACATAAAAATACCAGTCCCAAAATGCAAATTACAATTTTTTTTATCATTCTGTAATATATTTTTGTCTATTGTTAGATTATGAACAACCTAGATACCTATAGCTATTGTGGGCAACCTGTAACCAACATAAATATACAGTCTCAAAATGCAAATTTAATAGAATTTTGTCTTAATATTTTATGACATGTTGTTTTTGTCGTATCCTTAGACTATACACTGCCTAGACACATCTAGCTATTGTGGGCATCCTGTAGCCAACATCGCTATACAAATTCAAACCCTTTTCTGATAAATTCATGACAAAACTAAACAAGGCGACAAATATATTGTTAAAAAACTTACCAATAAACTCCTTTTTGAGATCGTTGTGCAGCTTGGCGAACTCCCTGTACCTTCTGGAGCACAAGTGTCTCCCCGCCATGTAAATATTAAAAGAAACATATCGTTCACCGCCTCGTTCATTGTAGTGATAGTCTGGAATGCTTATGGGTAGTGAACGCTTTTCACTATAATCATAATACACCTGACTGTCTTCCGAAGGTTCTAGGCGTTCAGCCTCCTAGAAAAATATTAAATAAATAACGCTACAAATCAGTTTGAGAAACTCCTCTATATAAGGAGGTCGAACTGTATTCCGAACAGTTCGTCAGCATATTCTGCAGATAAAAATAAGTAAAAAAGTTTGTATAAATGTACGAGGCCTCGGCAAGAGTTGGCGGTGCCAGGAACAAACGCAACTGTTTTTCGTAAAAGTATCTTTCAAGTGACTTCTGTCAAATTTTCAGCGAGCTGCGTCACTTAGTTTGCACTTGACAGTGATTGAAGGCGAACAGATTTTGCATTTTTACAAAAATGAATAAAATCGAATATCGCGCAGTGATTAGAATCTTGAGAGATGAGATCAAAATCGAACTGGATGATGTGTATGGGGACTCTGCACCTTTGTTATCAACAATAAAATATTGGACTGCCGAATTTAAACGCGGTCGTACGATCATTTTTGATGATGAGCGTTCAGGTCGTCCAAGAGAGGTCACCACACCAGAAGTGGTCGATAAAATCCATGGTATGTAATTGACGATCGACGGGTAAGAGTGTGCGAGATTGCTGAGGCTGTGGGCATCTCATGTGAACGAGTGGAGAATATATTGCGCGAATATTTGGGAATGAGGAAGCTCGCTGCCAGATGGGTGCCGCATTTGCTCAATGCCGGCAACAAGCAAAACCGTGTGACAACTTCAAAGGAGTGTTTGGCAATGTTTAACCACAATAAGAAGGATTTTTTGCGCCGTTTTGTAACCGTGGATGAAACTTGGATCCATCACAATACGCCAGAGACGATGGAACAGTCAAAGCAGTGGGTAGATAGTTTCGGAGATACGGGGTGTACAAGTTTCATATTTATTTCGATTTTTTTCCAAATAATTTATGAAGTAGTAACGTTAATATTTGGATGAAAATTGTTGTGTGGAAGTTTTTTGATATGAGAAATTTGATTTTGATGTCAATATGACTCCTACTTGTAGAGGGCGCCACCTACATATTTTTTAACTAGTTTGAGGAGTTATAACTTTTCGTCCGTATCTGTATAAAACTAGTGAGTAAAAAAATATAAATTTACGACGTTTTTTACGTAAAAAAGGACTCTTGATAAAAATCACTACGAGTAATGGTTCTCAAGATATTTGGAATCGAAATTATCAATACCTATCATCATTGACATAAATTAAACATGTTGACTAAATAGTTATTAGACTGAAATCATAAATTTGAAATATTTTTGTACCAAAAGTTCAATAGAAACTGTTTTATCATAATATTTTCGAAGAAAAATTTATGATTAATTTAAAAAAAATAAAAATTTCCCAAATTTATTATTTCAGTCAAATAACTATCTACTCAACGTGTTTATTTTTTTGTCAATAATGACATGAATCGACTATTTAGAGACGTTTTTTACGTAAAAAGTCACCGAAATGTATATTTTTTCACTCAGTAGTTTTATACAGGTACACACGAAAAGTTATTACTCTTCAAAACAGTTATAACACATCTAGGTAACGCCTCCTACAAATAGGAGTCATATTGACTTCAAAACCAAATTTCTCATGTCAAAAAACCCCAAGACACACTGGTGTTTCATCCAAATATTGACGTTACTTCAGAAATTATTTGGAAAAATCGAAATAAAAATGAAACTTCTACACCCTGTATCTCCGAAACTAAGCAATTTAGGACATACATTTATACGAACTTTTTTACTTATTTTTATCTGCAGAATATGCTGTCGAAGTTTCCGGAATACAGTTCGGGCCACCCTGTATACAGGGTCTTTTATAAATAACATACCTGTTGAGTAACGGAAATGACAGTGAGCTTTAAGACGTCTCCCCCTGATTTTATGAGATCTACTACTTGCTTGTGTGTGGCTCCTTCTACATTCACTCCATTACTACAACAATAAATATTGATACAGGGTGTTTAAAAAAAAACATGTGCCATCTCTCATGGGGAGATTCCCCTCATAAAAATAAAGTTTATTTTTCATATTAACATAGGTCCGATTCTACTTTTGTTTCGTAGCTACAGCTAATTCATTTTACGTGAGGGATTCTCCCTAATGAGAGATGGCACATGTTTTTGAAACACCCTGTATACAGTATGTCCCTTTGGATGTCTTTACAAGAGGAAATACTTTTTATTATTACCTTTTTGAGAAAAATGCTTTCTTCATAAAAGTTTTTACTTGTTCTAAAATGGTTAATCCCGTTTATATTTTTCCAAATTTCCGTTTTAGAGAAAAATAAAAAAAATATGAAAATATAGTCGAATTTGTTTCAAAGTCCCCAAAATCAAAACTTGTTTCTATGGTAATATAATTCTTTAATATTTTAAAACAGCAAAATGGGTATATGACGTTAATCAAAAAATATTAACCATCTAGCAAAGAATGTAAACAAAAATATGTTACCATAGTAACACATTTTGACTTTTGGGACTTGAAAAGAATTCAACTATATTTTCGAATTTTTCTCTAAAACGGTATGAAAATTTCTAAAACTATAAACGGATTAACCATTTTAGAACAAGCAAAAGCTTTTATAAAGAATTCATTTTACTCAAAAAGTTTAAAGAATTAACTGAAATAACTATTTTATAAACTCACCAGCTTAAGTACAGTGAATGTGGAATAGTTTGAAAATGACTGCCCAACATTTTAAATCATAGTAATCAAAAAATAAGTCTATTACCAACAAAATACTTGCTTTTAATCTAAAGTAAACTCACTCAAGATGCTCTTATTATACAGATAAACGAAATAAATAAAGATTAATACACTTAAGAATGTAATTCACAATATTTCAATGCTTTTAGTTAACTTTCTCTTGTACACTGCCAGGCAATCAATGAGAGCAAATCAAGTTACAAGAGATAAACAAGTTATTATAAATAAATGTCTGGTGGCAAAACATATTTTTATATAACTAAAACACAATAATTAATGAAGGCTAGTTTTACACGCCTTATCTGTAATGGCACACACAGTGATTTTTTTTAATTAACTGACCACAGATTAAAGTTCACAAAAAACATAAATAACATTTTCCAAGATTAATAAATGTATCGAAATTATTTAAATTTTTAATGCTATATTTCGGGGAAATAAACAAATGAAATAGCATTATTTCAAAGCCAACTATGATCTGAAAATGTGAAAGTATATCCTTGAAATTTTTGTATCCCTATTACCTGTTTTTATTATTTTGTCTTTTCAATTTTAAAACATACTTTTATTGAATTCATAAATCATTAATTTTTTTTAAGGAAATTAACATATATTTTGAGGTCCGATATTCGAAAATATCAAAAAGACATAAATTATACACAATGTTTACTATCCACCCACAAATTTTTATAAATATTGGTTTTAGATTCCTGTAAATTGTTTATGAATATGACAGCACTTCAAAAGTATGCCTACTTGACTAATAATAACTGTTTAAGCATCTTATATAAGGATAATTTTACTTTTACAAGCAATTTTCAATATTATTTGCTGATTAACTCACATTACCCACTATTTTATAATTTACATTGAGCAAGAATTCCTTAGCATTTAACAGAAGTTTCTAAGCATAAAATGACAAAAACACTAATGTTTTAACTTAAGAAATAGTTCATTCTAGTATTACTACCCTACTTTTCATTAAAACATTCAATTGTGTGGTTATTGGAAAGAAATCAATAATCTCCTTAGGTAAACACAAAAACTCTTCTACTTCTACACCTCTAAAATCCCGTCTCCTTTCCTTATACCGGCCTGTTCGGCAGCCCTGTGATCCGGAAGCACAGCGCTTTACGTGCTGCAGGGGCGTATAGCTCACCGTTGATGCTCCTGAGCTGGCCCCCTCGCTAACTTTGGCCCCGGACATTGCGTAAACCTGAACCCTGTATCCGTTTTCTTGATGGTAACAACTCGAGGACCGGCGATACCTTCATATTGTTGTTGGTATTGCGAGAAGTTCGACGGTGTCGGCCATATTTTGACGTTTTGAATCTCTTGATGCGGCGCGGCCGGAGGATCAAGCATCCTTCGCATCGCGGATTCAAATTGACACTCCTTCAGGAGTATAGATGCGCTCCAATCCGACGCTGGGATAGTACTGACCTTTGCGTGTTACGAGGCGGTTTTTTCGGCCAGGAAATGTGCGGAACCGTACGATTTCCGAGGATACTGGGTAACGATTATTTTGTCAATGAACTCCGTTTTATTTGACAGGCGGATTGTTTGCAACATCGGAACAGCTTTGGATCGCTGTCACGCGGTGCGTTGGACGCGCTGGTAAAGAAACCTGTAATTACGGATTTATCACGTTACAGAAACCTGTAATATAGCAGATTCTCTTAAAATAGTTACAGATTTACTCTAATAGATGGGGAAACATGTATTACATGGATTTTTAAAAAAATATTCAAATATTTTTAATTTTTCCACTATAAATCCGTAAAATTACTCGAGAAAAGTATCTTAGAACAAATTTTTCTAAATAAAACATGTATTTTGCGAAAGAATAAGTCGACCCTGAGAGTAATATTGCTAAAAGTAGGTTTTTAGATCGCCGGTTATATCATATACGGGGAATTTTTATTGAAAATTGCGAAATTCGCGCAGTTTGACATGGGAAAATTAGACCAAGTTACTTAAAAATTCTTATTAGAACTTGGTATAATATCTTTTCGTACTTGGAGCTTCAATTTTGCTTACTGGAAGGTTTTTTAGACTGTTTGTGATTTATTTGAATTGAGGGCGCAGTTTCTTAGCTAAGATAGACACAGGGGGTTTGTCCTTAGCTCTGCGATGGTCTTAAACTAATTTGTACAAGAAAATAGGACCCCACTGTCTTTTTTAATGGAAATGAAGTATATAACTCGTGAAAAAAGGCTGTTTTAGTTAGTTTTTCGATTTTCTACGTAAGATATATTACTTTGAGTGAAAATATTACGGATTTTCCTTATTTGTAAAAAGTAAGTGAGATGGATAAGTGAATAAAATTGATATTTTTGAAAGCGGCTGATGCTTAATTCGGCTCTGTAGCTGGCGCGTTTTTTTACATAATAACATATAAGGAAATGGTAAATAGATTGCGGAAATCAGATCACAACGAAAGAAAGAATGATCAGCATCCGGTTCTTGTTGCTTTTGTATGGCCTTCGTTGGTCAGTCACTGCTGGTCTAATGCGATGTAAAAAAAATAATACAAAATGAAATTCTGAAAATTTATTCGGTAAAATACCGCACGTACACGCTTTTGGCTTTGTAGGTACTTTAATTTGGATTTTAATTAATAATAAACCCAGCATCTTCTAGAATGGGGATTTCCCTTTAATTATTTTTATTTTTTCAATGTTTTATAAAAATGTATTAATTTAATAATAAATTTGTATTTATATGGGAAAGATATATCTCCTTAATCTAAATTGCTTTTGTTTAATTATTAATAAATATCTGTATATTTATTAATAATAAGTCCGAAAAAATAAGTGGTGGTGATCGCTTTTTTAAAAATAACATTTTTTAAATACTGTTTTCTCTTGATTTCTCTAAAATCTTATTGGTTTATAAAGGTGTCTTATTCTCTACAGGGTGGTGAACAAAACTTTAATTAAATAAAAATAACCGAGTTATACAGGGTAAGTCTTAAGTGCAAATATTTCTAGAGGTAGTATATTTCGACCCCAGAAACACGATAATGAGGAACAAAAAAAAATTGAAAATTTGGAATTTTTGGAAAAAAATTGCAAATGTTCTTAGTTTTTAGTTAAAAAGCATAATTACTTTATAATATGGCAACATAGGTAGTAGATTAAATTTACAAGAAAGAAACCCCAGACAAGATCCAGTGGTTCTCAAAATTTAAGCAAAAAGCATTTTTTTGGAAATTTTCAAAAACAACTCGGTGTTTATGGACTTAATATTTACTTATTTAAAACAATAATTAAAAAAATATACTTTCTTTTATCGAGATCTACCAGCCCTAAAAAATATTTGTAATCTCTACTTATTGCGTTAAGACTCACCCTGTATAACTTAGAAGAATTAAAAACAAAGCGTACATTTTGAATACCATCGGTAATTAGTTATTATTGGACGTCCCAGGTTACTACGATCAAGAAAGATAAACTCTCTTATTTGATTCAAAATACTTCGTAATCTGGCTATAAAAAATTTGTTAGATTTGTTAAGATTTATACATATTCCTTTATTTTTAGTACTCGTATTACCCTTGATTATGGACTACTCTACTATCCAATTAAAATAATTTTGTAAATTATTGTGTAGAAAATTAAAATTACCAGGAAATTATAAACACAATAAATATGCAGAACGCGGGTAACGTAGAAGGTGGCAACATTGTAACGCATCGAAACCCTTTCAAGAAATTTCAGGAGAATGAACCTGTGGTAATTAAAAGTTTTTAAAATTTCCCGGAACATGAAGGAAAAATTAAAAAAATTACAACTATTTTTGTCCAAAAACTCAAGAGCTTGTTTTTGGGACCGATATAAAATACCAGTTGAAGTACTTGTACTTATTAAGGAGACCCCCTGTATAGTGGAACAAAAATTGCATTATTTTTCGCTGATTTTTCAAATATTTTTATGTCCATGTTTTTATAAGAATTAAAGATTTCCAAAAAAATATATCAGTCTGTTTCTCCATCCGTAAACGTCTAATCTACCATTAATTGTAAATCACCCTGGTATATACAGGGTGAATCTAAATAAGTGCCCATTTCCTTTTTAGGGATGATATATTCCGATCCCAGAACCTAGATAAATTCATAAAATATCATCCTTAAAATATAACTTAATCTTTTCAAATATGTACAACGACCTATTTATACAAACAATTTAAAGGGGTGTGAAAAATATAAGTGTTATTTTATTGACTTTTTTTTTTTTTTTTTTTTTTTTTTTTTTAATAAAACTAGTTTTTTCCAATTTAAACAATTTCCATAAAACTGTAAAAAGACACATTATGTCCAAAGCACATTTGTAGGCTGTCATAAACAAAAGTCTTAGTAAAATAAATCCAAAGTACGCTCTAATTTGATAACTTTGATCATTTTTAGGAAGCTTGAAAAAATTTAATAAAAAATAGGTAAAATATTACAATACATCGATGCTTCGTTTGTTTCTTCTCGGATAAAGCATTTAGTAAATAAATAAACTGTAGGATTTAATGGTTTAAATGATTTAAAATTCTCGAGCTCTGTAATTTTGATGCATATAGTAAATACAAATTGAAACGGGGCGCATACCAA